AGTTTGGACAACATATTATGGAGTAAGACGTTGTTAATATAAGCAAATAAGTCTGGTAAAGTCAAGAACCTATGCAAGCGGCTGGACGAACAATGTGACACAGGGCTCGACACTAACACTTACCCGTTCACCACTGGAAAGTAATATTTCTGAGTGGAAAGTAAAAAAAGCAAATGAACCGAAAATACTTGCCCGATCGGGCAACTACTTCTAGACAATGAGGGAAAGTATTTTTTTAAACAGCCAAATAAAAAAGAAAAGAAAACGAATGTGTTTAGTTATTACAAGTGAGCTTCCTTGCTAAACGTCCAAGTTTCTCGTTTTCTATCTCCGCCATCTTGGAATCGTCAGTGACAGATCGAGAAACCCTGGGTACGAAATAGATGATGCAATCAACCGTGCTCGCCATTTTCACATGTGGACTAGTAAATAAAACATGAGTCTCTTTCGTTTTGGTTTTAAGCGCGCTGGTGAGGTTAACGAAGGAAACTCCGAAAAAATTGATGAAGTTGACCAAGAAAGAAACAAAGGAGGAGAACAGACTGAAAATCAAACAGCTGGAGCATAATCGAAGCAAGCGACGCCACGAGACAAATACGAAGAAAAGAGGAAGATGGTCAGCCGTGGGTTTAGAAAAGAATGGCTTAAGGAATTTATGGATAGTGGAAAATATGTTTCTTTCATTTTTGGAAAGTAAAATTTTACTATGGAAAGTAAATTTTCATATCTACTTTCCACAGTGGCAAGTTATGTCAAAAGTTAGTGTCAAGCCCTGTGACAGCAGCTGAGACAGCGAACGTTAGAAGAATTCGAACTTGAAAACCAAGGCTGCCCTGTTGAAAACTTATGCACTTATCAATTGAAACCCCGACCCCCCCCACCCCGGGCCAAGGTGGGGATTTGACTTGACATCATTACAAATCTTAGCAAACTCCCACCCTACTGGGGCATATTGACTGGTAAAACCCCCACCCAGGTGGGGAAACCTTTTTAATTCCCTGACTGACTTTATTAATATTTCGTTCGAATTTTCAACTTCTTAATATTGACAAATTTACTACAGCAAAAAGGCAAATATGATAACAGACCAAGATATAAATACAACAAATATTTGACAATAAGTAAACATAATGACCCCTACCCACTTATAAAAAAGTCAGGGTACAAAATGGATGATGGAGTAGCACATTGCTATAAAGTTATATTAAAAGGAAATCCGTACCATCTCCATTGAAAGTAATATCTGCAATGATAATTTTAATTGAAAATAGCAGCCAACATACCTTAACCTTCACAAGCTGATGTTATAAATAGACTGCATAAAATAGTTCCTAATAGGAGCTATATTTTTTATTTTGGCTTAAAGAATGAGGAAATATAGAACTTCAGAAACCACATGGGTTTAACACTAGACGTTAAACGAGCTGTGTCATGAAATTTACCAAAATGTAGGCTGTGGGAACTGCCACCAAATTGAGTGAAACATAAAAATAGCCGCTTAAGACATTAAAAGATGGTATAAATGACTCAGCAAATACAAAAGAAGGTACAGATGGAAATGAAAACTTGTTAACCTAACAGTTTTTCAAAGTTCATTGTTTTTGTCCGTAACGCTTGATATGCTTGGGAGAAACATCTGTTTAAAACGAAGCTTTGATTTCTTCATTTCTTTGCCAACGTAACGCTCAAAAGCGAATAGGGACCACGTAACTGGCAATATTAACAAAATGAACCAGATAGCCGTGACACAGCACCTTTTATAATAAGTAGAGGAGTTTGTATCTGCATTGTTTGAGAAGTTTTGAATAACAATAACAATTTCCAGTCAACGAACCATGAAAGCTCAAGGCAAAATCGCAAAGGATTAGTCTCAGTGAAGAAATGAAAGGAAAAACTCAAGGTAATTAAGGCATGGGTCCCCAGGTGTTAAGTCAAAAAGTAGGGGGGTGGTCTATCTTTCGATACATTAGCAGTGGCAAGCTGAAAACTTGTCAGACACATAAACGGCTAGTTTTTATCTATTTGGTATGCTCCAATTATGCAAATGAGGTCACGTGACACGCCACGCCCAAAAAAACCCTTGAACTTAAATGGGCACACTTTTTCTTGTTTCCTTCATTTTTCTACTCGTTTCATAATTATAAGGCCGTTAAGTATGTCATTTCTGCGCTTGGCAATGTCAAGAGTTTTCAAAGGAAAGGCACGTTAAAATGATACATTTGTATTGGGAGACTGGGTACTAGTCGAAAAACCCGTTTATTTTCAAAATAGACGAGATATTTGAAAGTTGCCAAGCACAGTTTTTTAGCGGCTTATATTTTGTATCTTCTTAGGGTAGTAAAGTAAGATAACTCTTGCTAAAAAGTGTGCCCATTTTTTCTTAAAGATATTTTGAAACTTTGAGGAGCGGTAAGGTCACGTGACCTAATTTGCATAATTTTGGTCTAGTTTAAAGCGTCAATTTTGGTGTTGTGTAATATTTTTTGGTATTTTCTGCTTCATGATAAACCATTCATATCATAGACCACCCCCCTCATTTTTACAGGAAAATGGTTGTTGACCCATGCCTTAATTTACCTGAGAACAATTAGGAAACTTACGGCCGAGCAATACATCAAAATACCAGTGATCACGTGAAGAAATTACCATGAGGAAACTAGGCACGAGTCAAATCCCCACCTCGCTCCCCGACTTCCATGGACTTCCATGAATATGCTAAGCAAATCCTGAGAAATCCAGTACCCCCACGGGCTAACCATGCCTTCAAATACCATAAAAATCCCCCACATTGCCCCACATAGGCCCGGGGTGGGGGGGTCGGGGTTTCAATTGATAAGTGCATTACGGACGGTCCCGCGATCGCCTTTTGTTTTCTGGTCAAAACTAACGCAGCGAACCTTCTGTCAGTCGATTGACCTAGAAGCAATAGTACCATCCCTCCCATAGTAAGTGCGCATTGTCCGCGAACGCGGTCGCTAAGCTTGAATATTCACGTCGCGTATTAAACCTGGTCGTTTGCGGTCACATCGAAGCGTAAAGGTCAACAGTGGTTGTTGATGAGCGAGCAATTATTGTGCAGTTGCGATGGGTTTTGTGGAGCAAGCGAGCCAGAAGCAGGAGCACACGTTACTTGCAGATTAGCCGATGGTTATTTGGAGCGGATTCGTCGATTATTCTCGAATTTATAGCGCTTCGTGTGAAGGCGCGTGGAGATGGTCTGTTTGTTTTGTAGCCAGCCTTTAATTCTTCTTTAGTGGAGAGTACCTACAATTGCAAAACTCAACAAAATGCCACTTAAACCGGCCAGGAAAGACAAGGATACGTTCAGTTGAAGGTATCTTAGCTTTGTTTTGTTATATTTTGACTTTTGGACTATTTTAGTCCATGGGAGTTTCGACGACTCATCGCATTAATTTGTCCATGTGAATATTAATATATTCATTCAGTGATACATACTACGTCTGGGCCGCCTGTGCTGTCTCAAAGCTTAAGTTTAAGCTTATCTAACGTAGCACTTTATTTGGTAAATTTACAACTATAATTTTTGTTTTGTTTCCAACATGCAGAAAGATGGTTGACAAAAAACATGACAAGTGGCTCTAAAGTGGAAGAGGAGTATGTTCACAAATTTATGTTTTATTTTTTTACCTCATGAGTGTTAAAATGTTTTTCTAGCCAAATGGCTGTGCTCAAAGAAAATTTGAAGGGACTGAGTCCATTGCTATGAAACTGTGAAATCCACACTGCTCAAGATATGGTTCCTATGAAAAACGTTCTTTTAGGCTGGGTTCAAATGTCGAATTTCACTTGAGCCAAACTTAACGCAAGAGTTAAATGCATGTGAAGTGCAACGTTTGAATCAATTAAATAAGACTGTTTAAATTAAATGCGATGTTTGCCGTATCTGCGACTGAAACAGTTGAAGATTTGACTAAGGTTCAACTTTTGATTCAAACGTCGCATTTCACATGTGCCAACTTAATGCATGAATTTTGGTAAATTATTATTATATTACTGGGAATATTGACTTTTAACAGAGTTGAATTCAACAGAGTTTAGGGAGTTAAATTTGACGTTTAAATCAAATGCCGCATTTAACTATTCAAGAAGACTAAATTAGGAATAAAGTTCTGCGCATGTGAATTTTGACATTTGAACTGGGCCTTAGACACTCAGGATTAAAAGTCAGTTGCCACGGGTGACCTGGAGAGCGCAGCCTCAGGTGTTGTTTACCTTAAGAATCTTATCCCTCATGCCAGAGCTATGGCAAGGCCCAGGTTTGAGGGTGGGATATCCGAGAGGCCAGCACCTGATGGTCCATCATGAGCCACATTCAGGCCACTTCTCAGTCAAGGCCTAGGCCCAGTTGTTCTAAGGCTTATTAGAACCCACACGGGGATAAATTTTTAAATAATTTGGTTTCCTTTTTCATTCGTTCAAAAACATTTTCACACTTAATGTGCTCTTCTTTTTTAGAGCATCCAATCATCAAATTGCAGACAAAAAGAACTTTTAAAGTGAATTTGTTTATAAGCTTTTCTATCTCAACTCAAAGTTTGCATAAACCAGCATTACACAACCTGGCCTGACCTTGTTTATATGAATTCATATGAATTTAATGAGAAAGAAAGTGGAGATAATAGAAAAGTATATGTTATTAGTAGTATGAGGCTACCTTCCACAGAAGATAATCAACTGTGGCAATTTTTGTGTTAATAGGGTACCGGTAGCTTAATTATTTATCATATACATCCAGGGTGCAAAGAAAGTCAGTTTTACAGCCTGCCATTCTGGCAAGCTTTAGCTACCCCGTACTAGCCCACAAGTCATTTCAACTAGCCCCCAAACCCTTTTTGATTAGCAGGATTGATTACAATCCTTCGGTAATTTGAATTTCTCCAAAAAACAGCACTTGCCTATCAGGCAAGTTAAGAACAAAAATCACTAGCCCGATAGCAAAATCCACTAGCCCAGGGCTGTCGGACACGACTTTCCTTGCAGGCTGACATCACATAAAAGTACCAACTTTGCTTTTCAAAGGCAAAAGAAAACTTTTCAATGACTCTTTCGAAGATGTGAAGCCAAAAGAAAATCAGGCTTAGGTTTACCTTCTCGTTTATTTGCAATATTCATTTAAGAAATCTTTGACCAGAGGAAAAGTTGTGATAATCAAAAAGTTGGTTAATTGAGGTCCAGATAATCAAGGTTTAACTGTTGGCTTAAATGTCCAAAGTCCATTATTTGTTTATAGATTTTAATAACAGTACATGTTATGGATTTTCTAAGAGCTTATATAAATGTAACTTGGATTACTTGGTTAACTGTGGCAAACATTGAAGAGTGCAAATGGTATAGTCTTTGATTACTTTGCAAATTCTCAAGCTATCAGTAAGATGCGTTTACAAAAATATATTATGATATGTGAAATTTTTGCTGTTTACCAAATTTTAGTCAAGTCTTTGTAGCATTATTGATTAATGACAAATGTAAATTAAACCCTCTAGCAGTCACTCCAGAAGTCATCTATTTCATTAGTTTTGTTACCTTTGGCAAGTATCAATAGCCCACCAAACAAACCTTGGCAATTGTGAGGCATTTGCTTTTTGTTATTGGTATTTCCTAAAGTGCATTAAGATATATTTTTAATATAAGAAATAAGAATATTTTGTCTGGACAGTCAACTCTCTTTAAGATGGACACCTTTGGGACCAGCACTACTGATTCGGTATATCCGTCTTATAGAGATCCAAATAGAGTGAGTTATAAAGAGAAACAGGGACCATCTCAAGGTGTCCACTTAACAGAGGTGTTTTTAATAGCTATTATTTAAAATTACATACTCTAATAACAGTCGAACTACGTGCAATGAAGATTGTTATCTTTCCTGTGGTAATTAACTAAAGATACACTTTGTTGGATGTTGTACCAATGGTACCTGAAGGGAAAGTTTTATTTCATGGTTAAATTTTACTGGGTATGTGCTGCTGGCCTCTCAGTATCCCTATCCCATTACTGTATACCGATAGTCTACTCTGTGGCCATATTATAGACCCCATTTCCGTCACTTTGGAAAAAAAGTGATTTTTGCAATCCCAACTTGGTCACTTTCTGTTTATTTATCTACCTAATTAAGTCTTTTGACTTGGTCATCCTGAAATGAACTGACACTTGTTAAACTTAATGTTTTAGTTTTGTTTTACAGTTAATTGTAAGATCAGGACAAGCTATGTGAAATAAATGAGAATTGTCAGTTAAAATTCTTGAGTCATTTTTCTTTAAATACTGTAATCACCTTGCACCCTTTACAGTGGAACTCTGATATTTAAGAAGTTTCAAGGAACGAAGTGCAATGAAGATTGTTACTGTTTTAGCAGTGTCTTCGTTATATCAGGGTTTTTCAGGCAAGGGTTGTGATAAATGAGGGGGAAAGGGATCGAACTGATGGTCTTTCAACCTGTCCTAGTTGAGTTGAATGAACTTCTGCAGCATTAGTCCACTTTAAAGAAAGGTTGAAAGCTAGTGTTAAGTGCAAATTGCAAGAAGCAATAAAGGGGTAGATGCCAGGGAAGAAAAGAGAGAAGGGTAGTACGTGTGTACTAGCCTGGCACGCTCACTTTACAATATAAAATTTGCTCTATATTTGTCCATACAAATATGTTATTTGACAAAGTTTGAACACATTTGTTTGCAGTTTGGCTCATTTATCTGCATTTGTCACAAAGCAAATGTTAAATTTGTCCTACATTTACACAGCATTTGTTCACATTTGTCTTAGATAGCAAATGCATCATTATCCTATTTGTCTTAAAGACAAATGTATAATTTGTGCTTTGCACAAATGTGAACAAATATGACAAATTTTATATTTGTCCCACATTTGTCCCACATTTATCTCATTTCAAATCTGTTTTTTCATCCAGTGTATAAGTACGTTGATTCTTCTGAAGCAACGGCATTCCCCCACAACTGCTGCAGCCTTTCATCTGCAAGCAACAAGCAAATTAAATAGGTACACAAGGTCAAGTTTCAAACAGCAATACCCAGTAATGACTCTAAAGTATTAAAGGCAACCTTTGTCTCGTTCGCAGCCGCTTTTCGTGCCGTCACGCAAATCTTTTCCCCACAAAGGGTAGCCTGCGAGGAAACTCTTGACCACGCCCCATAATTTTCGCCGACTTGGCCGGCTCGCACTGGCGGCTCCGCTAGGGACGTTTCGTCAGCGGCAAGGAGCGAAGAGAGGGGGGAACATTGCGTGACGACACAAAAAACGACTGAGCGTAGGCGACTAAGGCAACTCCACTGTAATAATTATACTATTACTATTATTATTATTATCATTATTATTATTATTATTAAATGATGAAAATAAAAGTGATAATAATAAAACTGAAGAAGGGTCGCTTCTCACATAAACTTGAAGCAAAATCTAATAAGTTGAAACGGAAACACGGAATGCCTCTCTTGTCAAACGTTAGCAATGATGACTTAATCTTTAATCATTCACATCGGGTTTTAACAGAGTCCGAGAAATCCGTGTTGGCCAGCTAGGGTGATTGCAGTTTTGTGATAACGAATACAGACTGAAATGTCAACTGAAATATGTCTTACCGTTACATCATTCTACGCATGTTTTCTCAAAACAAAAGAACATTCTCAACAAATATGAACGGAAAGCCTTGAACGTTTTGCGAAAATACGACAGCACTATAATCACAAAACCTGACAAAGGAAAGGGACGTGTAATCTTCAATGAGCCTGATTACTTGAATAAATAAAATGAAACAGTTGATTCTGATGGCACAAAGTTCAAGGCATAACCCGACGATATCTAGAGAAGACAGTTTAACATCTTATCTTCACAAATTCACAAAAGGAATAACGTCATTGACGATGCCACCCTGCAGAAGATATTGCCATGTGGTTCCTCTCATGGTGTTCTTTATGGCCTTCCTAAGGTTCATAAATCTGGTTGCCCTTTTCGCCCTATTTTTTCTTCTCTAAACACCTAAAACTATAATTTGGCATCATATCTTGTTCATATTCTCCAGCACATTTCCACTAACCAGTTCACAACCAAGGACTGCTTTAATTTTGCGGATTAGGACAAGACGTATAAACATAACAATGAAGTGATGTGCTCCTTTGACGTCAGTTCCTTAATTACAAACGTTGCTCTTGATGACACAATACAAATTTGCGTTTACAAGCTATACGCTCTTCCTGATGCGCCAACACTGCCCTGATCAGTCTTAAAAGTTTTTTTTCGAGTATGCCACAAAAAAGAGCGATTTCATATTTGATGGCCAATATTACGACCAGATTGATGATGTGGCAATTGGCTCCCCATAAGATCCTATTTTAGCCAACATCTTCATGTGCCATTTTGGGGAGAAATGGGTACTCAGCAATAACATTCCGCCATCTATTTGGTTTCGATATGCTGACGACACTTTCACCTTGTTTGACAACAACGACAACGCGGCAAATCAGTTTCCGCACTACCTCAATAGCTGTCAGGCGAATATCATATCCAGCGTTGAATTTGAGGAGAACAACGCGATCTCTTTCTTAGACAAAGTCATCAAACAAAACAACCACGCCTAGCTTTTCAACGTCAATTTACCGAAGGAAAACGTTTACTGGCCTTTACACTAAATGGGCCTCTTTCACACCCCGAAAATACGAGATAAACCTTATCCGAACCCTTTACTTTTCGTTGTCTCCGAATTGTTCGTCATCCTCTTTTTAGTTGTTCTTTGGATGAACTGAGAAAACTGTTATTACAAAACGGTTACCTCAGCGGTGTGTTGAATTACAACATTAATGATGTCTGATCAGGCAACAAAACAGACCGTTCAAACAGCCAATCATCGCAGTCCCAAAAAAGGAAGTCCTCTTATTTCTACCTTATTTAGGTTTACAAAGCAGAATCCTCACCAAACAAGTGAAGGCTTGCAACAATAAATTCCTCTTTGTTGTAAACTTACTTTCGTCCTAGCTAAAGAATTCTTCCTCGATGTCAAGCAGGGCATCAAGGCTCTTCCCTAACTCTTGAAGTTTTTGTTTTATTTCCCCTTCTTTGCTAAGCTTCTTTTTCTGTGGTAAGACAAAAAGGTAAAAATTTGAAATGGGATTTACCACCAATCTTTCTCAATTCCTCCTTGAAAACAAGTAACGACAAATGCTTTGTGTCCTTGGTATTCCAAAACCAAGAAAATGAGACCTATCCAACTGAGCTGATCAAGCCAACCACAGAGCGGGTTCGTAGTATACTCGACGACGCCAGCAATGTGGATGCATAAAATAAATCATATATGTGAACTTCAGATCAAATCAATGGCAAATTTGATCCACAAAGTTATGATTTCAAAGAACCATATAGTAATATCGCTTTGCGAGGACTGGAACACAAAGCTTTTCTAGTGATCGCAAAGCTCAAGGTTCGATTCCCATGAAAGCTTTCAGTTTAAGCTATTAGGTTGTAGCCTCCCCTGCAGACGTTCTTAGGGGTTCGTCACGCGCTCCTGCCCCACTAACGGGTATGGGCAGGTACTCGCGACGAACCCATAAGAACGTCTGCGTGGGAGGCTATTAGGTTGTGGCTAACAGATAGAATAGATCTTTTGTAACGATGCTTCGTTTTGGAAATTCTGACCAATCATGACAGAGCTAGGAGCAAAAAACCAAGTAACATTTTGGGGAAAAATCCACTGCCACTTGCAATTTCGCCATTTGTAGTACCTACAACACTTTGTAGATTAAATTGGTCCCGGCTTTCCTAAAAAGTTGGCCAGCCACAATTCCATGCAAAAGAAATACGATAAAATGGCAAGAAAATTGAATATAAAAAGGCAAAGGCAGAAAAGAGAGGTAAAAAGGAAAATCAAAATAGTTTCGCAAAGAGTCCAAATTTTGGCTTATGCGCATGCTCAAAAACAAAAAAAGCTGCTTAATCATCCGATTAGTTGGAAAATATGCCCTTATTGTTGCAAAACTCATTTTAGCCATTCTTATGCTAATTAACCGAAAACAGTGCAAAAAAGAGGAATTGGTGACAAATCCATTTTTTTCGCTACTCTTGGCCTTCTTTAAAGTTGTGAAACAAAATCGTCCAGAAACCAGGCGTGCTTACCATTTACACAAACCATCCGGATATAGAAATCTTAAGCATAAACATAACACTATAAAATTTGACGTGGTTGGAGAACGATCCGCTACAAAATATAACTAACTCAGCTGAACAGAGTAAAAGGAGTAGAAACATTGCATCCCCTCAAAACGCAGCCCATAATTCAGTGTGAGTCTTCCCAAACGGAATGGAGCGAACCATTTGATTGTCCAACCGGAATTTCCGGTTTTCCCATGTAAATGGTAAGTACCCCAGGTTGTCTGTTGGATCTATGCCCTTTTTTTGTATCAACGGTTGCAATCAAAGATAGAAAGTGCAGACAGGTCAACCATCTAGACTAGACAAAAGCTGGTCAAAACTTGACACGCTTTGACAAATGAAGCGAACTGTTTTAACAAGTCTAAAAAATTAGACAAGCGGGTAGGTACCTGATTTTCCTCCAGTTCTTGGCCGTTTTCCATCTTCTTCTTCAAGACCTCAATATCTGTAAGTTTCCTTGTTAGTTTGTTCATACTGGAAGTGTATTCCTCATACGTCACAACATTATATTTAGGTACAGGTACAACAAACTTGTATTGATCGCCCAAAACCTGACCAATGGACTCCTCGGAGCATTTTGCATGTTCTGAATGAATGTATTTGACATCTAAAGCGATAGGTTGGGGCCAGCTGAAGCCTAAGTAGAAGGACACTTCCTCCTTGGAAAAACCTCCTTGGCGAAATGTAGAAAAGTAAATGTCAATTGTTCTACTCGAGTCCAGAGGGTTCTTCATTCTGATGATATTTCTACTTTCCACTATTCCCGTAAGCCGTTTAAGTCTCTGTTTTACCTTTGGACCCTCCCGGCCTAGAGAGCCTTTTTCAGTAAGTTCATTTATATGAACAAAAACATCTAACCCAGAGCCTTTACCCAGGTAAAAAAGTGTCGTATACTGCCTGGTATCTTTCTTAAATGACATGTACTTATAAACCTTTTGCTTATGCATCTTGTCTAGATCAAAATGTCCCTGGCATTTTCTTTCCCACCTCTCTTTCAAGCTTTTCTTTGCATCGTAAAAGTCTTGCACGCCATAGCTGCTCAACTCCGTCGGTAAATCTTTCCGCGGCCACAGGAACATTACTTTAAATAAATGAGCGTAAAGCCTTAGAGACCCTTCGTTGCATTCTTCTAGTGTAAACAATTTTTCAACAAAACTGTATATTTCCCTATACTCCTCCACCAGTTGCTTTGGTTTAAGCTTTGAATTAGATCCATATGGAGAGTGGAGAGCCATGCTCGATGATATGATGAGCAGCATGTCCTTATAACGCATACTTTGTACAGGCTCGCGATAGTTTTCAATAGCTAGCCTTTTAAGAAGCTGCAGTGTTTCCTTTGGTGTCTTCGAATCCTCCTTGGTTTTAGCCCAGTGAATCGAAAAAACGCTAGAGAAAATATCACCAGTAAGATATTGATTGATTTTACGCCATCTGTACTCCCAGCGCTCCTCTGGAATTTCATTATTCCACTTAACGTCACCTTCACCAAAGTAACTATGATACTGCTTCTTGAAAATAGCAATTTGATTGGGTAGTCCTCTTTCCTCTATACGATTCCGTTTGTAAATGGCGAAGTCTTCCGCAAGTCCCTCTATGCAGTGACTGAACCTATTCCTCAGCTGCCGAATAGATTCATGATACTCTTTCCAAGCTGCTTGCACTTCGTCTGGTATGACCTGACAAAAAGCGAGATATGCTTGCAACTTTTTCTGGCCCTCCTTCTCCCTGAAGATCGTCACACATCGAAGAACATCAAGCAAGTAGAACATCACAGAAAGCTCCCCATGAAAACCATAATTATTTTGATATTCCACCGATGCTGCTATCGATTTTTGAAACCACTTCATTGCATCAAAAGCCAGCGGAAGTACTTGCGTAGCAGATGGTATATCTATTAACCTATTACCCTTGCGTACTGAACCATACAAAACTTTTATTTTACTTTCATAAATTCTTCCCTTGGTATCAAAGAGAAATGAGTTATTTGGGCTCATCTTAATTGCAGTGTCGCAAAACTCTAATGCCTTGTGAAAGCATGAGTCCACTGTTGATTCCGAAAATGCTGCAGCGTTAAGATAAAATACTCTGGCTAGCTGCTGAGCGAGCATGGGATCCCTAAATTTATCTAGTCCTTCAATGAGTACTTTTGTCGCCTGATCTATACTTTCTTCAGTGGGTTTCTTTTGTCCATCTTCGGTTTCTTTTACGTACAAAATCTTTTCAATCAACGGTGAGAATTTAGTCTGAATGTCATCGCCATACTCGTATTTTTTTCTATGTTTCAGCATTCTGTTCGCAGCATCATACAAGTGCGTTGAGGTAAAAGACTTCCCTTCTTGTTCTAACAAGGGTGATTTCAAAAGGTCCAGGGCTATTTGGCTCACAGTGGTCTCTCTCTTCACAGCTATTTGATCTAGTAACTCACCCGCAATGATTGGGTGGACAACAGCGATAGCTTTTCCTGTCCCGAGGTGTGTGCTGCAGTCCATCTCTCGCAAGAAAATTCGAGCTGAGTGGGTGAGATCTTCCACCCAATCTCTGAAGAACTTTTTCCGTAGAAAGCTAGCAGACAACATGATATTGTCAAAGCAACAGGTAAACACAGGGTAAGGATTGTAAATGTTGAGAAGGGATGTGTATTGCAGGAGTGTTAATTCGTCCTTCGTCACATGGCATAAGTTTCTTTCAACAATGCTTGATACATAAACTCGATTAAAGTTCTCTTTCATAATCATGAAAGAAATCAAGTTCTCGTTTGCGTAAGTTTCAAAGTCATGTTGTGGATCGTTGTAATGTCCTTTCATTTCGGTGTACTTGTCTTTAAACCAGTCCACCTCCTCTGGGCTTAATTGCTGCTCGAGATACACACTCGTATCCTTTTCTTTGTCGTGACATTTGTATGGTTGTTGTGTTGGTTTGCAGAATAGAAAGACGCACACTGGCCATTCAGTCCTAGGAAGTTTGTTAGCATGCTCTACAACTTGTGATCGCAACTCTCGAAACAAGAAATCTTCAGTATCTTCAACCAGTGCCAGGACGGGTGGTAGAGAGCCTACACTCTCGTCGCTGTAACCTACTTTCCTAAGACGCAGAATCTCTTTACAAGTACTGTCATCTATTTTAGTGATTACAGCACAACGGTATGGAAAATTTGAGTTGCAGCGAAACTCCCACAATGCTTGCCGACACATAGTACTAGCTCCTGCTCCTATCTGGTGATAAATAGTAACTGTTTGGACTTTTCCCTCCGGTCCTCGTCGGTACATCTTTTCTATTAACGCTTTTAAATCTGTAAAGTTTTTCCGGCGAAGAACATGATTCTTTCCCTCTTCAGTAAACCAAAAATTCATCCAGGTCACAGGATATCCTCTATAGAAATCAAGTTCTACCTTCGATGAAATCGTCAGTCGCTCTGGGGGGCTTAAATCGCGCAATTCTTCGCATTCCTTGGCACTCAAAATACTGATATTGTTGAACGTGACATTGTCTAAAGGAAATGGAGTCCCAGTGGCCATGGTTACATAACGCTGCTGCCGATCAATTCCTCCAACCATCTGCTGCATACTCTCTTTGAATTCACTCCATGCCATTCCGACAACACCTCTTTCTCGAAGTTCATGTTCCTCTAAACAAGTACTTGAGAGTTTCCCTACCCAATTTACAACAATATCAGAGCTTTCCGCAGCATAAACTAAGTGATTCGGACCATCAAAATAGGTACAGAAGTCTTTAAAAGTATCTGCCATTGGCTCATACTCCCGTGAGAGCAACATAAACACGACTACTGGCCTTAACTTTGGGATCCTCTTGGCTAATGACTGAATAACAAAGCTCAATCCTCGTTTACGTTTAGAATTGTTCCACTGCTTGAATCCCAGTGCCTCTTTACCAAGCTCCGCATAACCATTTCCAAATATCCAGTGAGTCTTAAAATCTATACTTTCAATTGCATCCTCGCTTTCATCGTAATCCTCGGCCTCATGTATGTCACAGTTCCAGGAATCTAGGCTGCCCTTATATACTTCACAAAGACCTTTCTTAGCTGATCCCTGGTCATCAAAGTCAATGATAACCTGCCATTTTATATTTTTGATAAAAGAGAATGTTTCTTTCAGGTACTCTTGAGTCATTTTGGCATCTGGTTTACTTAGAACTAAGATGGGATACACAGAGCAATCTAAAACAGACTTATTAGCACACAATAGCCTTTTCAGTTTAGCGTGAAGGTGTTTAATGTCATTCGGTTTTTCCAAAACACCCTGTTCTTGTTCACGCCTCTTTCTCTCTTCATCCAACCTGGGACGAAGTTTTATGTATTCTTCCATTTTTTCTACTTCAACTATTGCCTCTGTCTGTGAACCATGCCTTACGTAAGCTAAAGGTTCCTCTTTCTCTTTACCAAGGCTTTTAAACCCAGCTTTAAACGTTTCACCTTCACAGAAAGAATATCTAGGCTCGATGTCGACTTCAATTACCACTCTGTTAGTAGAAGGCCGTCCTGCATCACATTTTACTGGAATGAAGACTGGATCTCTAATGCAGTTGTGGACATTGCTTTTACTGTCACCCACAAAGCATTTGTTAATAAACTCTGTAAGCTTATCTTTGTAACGGGGTTTAACAATAACCAAGGTGCCAACAATTTCTCTCGTTTGGTAACCACATGTTTGGCCTTCCATCTCATCAGCAACGCCAAAGTGTATTGTTCCGTTTGTTCTTTTGTTAAGGCAGCCACAAGCAAATCTCATTGTCTCAAACACAAATTTGACCATACTGTCTTTTTCAGAACTGTGGGCGCCAGTTCGAAGGAGTTTAAATTCATGCGCTGGTTTGATCAGGTCTTGGGAGCCATTCTCCCAGAAGGGAAGAATATAGCCCTCATTATAATAATTGTTTTCAAAATCCGAGGCAAAGGGTCTTGGAGTCTGGTATTGAGGGAAATCGGGAGCCGGTAATGGTTCCTTATCAAATTGAGGTGTTGTGCTTACAACACTCTTAAATGAGGCATTCGTTTTACAACCTCTGAAGTGCTTACTCCATGTAAGATTTTGACCCCTACTGTTTGGGTCAAAAGAAGCGTGATAACCGCTTTCTTTTGCATTCAATCGAACTTTAAAGGAAAACCTGCTTTTTTTCTCCAGAAAAAATAAGTACGAGTAAGTTTCCTTCTCTTTTATCAATTGCTTATCGACCAACAGCACAAACACACTTTGCTTCAATTCATTGGCCGAGAGTTTTTCAAGGAATATTTGACCCACATTCTTATCCGCCCGTAAAGACACCCTTTCTTTAGTAGGCAAATAGACGAAGGAATCACACCCACTGTCCCACTGAAAAGACTGCTGGTCATCTTTACGTAGCAGAGTTATCCAGTCTGATGTTTTTTCGATAATCCTGGACCACAGCGTTCGTCGTTTGTCGATTGTCATCTCTTCTTTAGTTATGACGACGAAATTGAACAACCGTTCAAGAGCATTGGCACCTCCGCCCCTCTTGGCGAAAATCGACCGTACAAAGCATTCCTCCAAGTCTTCAGAATTAGTTGAAGCTTCAATGTCCAGTTTCAGAGCATTCTGAAACAGCAACAGCTTTTCACTTGTGGACAAGGCACCTTTAGATTTTGATTCACTTACGTTCTTCGTGGAGAGATCGCTAGCTGCCAGAGGTTCTTTAACTTCGCCCGTTTGTTTTGTAGAGAAGGCACCTTTGTGGTCTGTTTCTAAGATGTTGCCGGAGGTATCCTCGGAAGCACATGGTTCTTTAGTCGCAACCGTTTGTTTTGTGGATGGAAAAACTTTACGGTTTGCTCCAAAGATGTCGTTGGTGGAGGTATCATTGCCGACCTGAGGTTCTTTAATTTCGTCCATTTTTTTAGTGGACATGGCAATTTTAGCGTTTTCTTCAAAGGAGATTTCGGTGGTCATATCGTCCTCCCTCTTCAGTTCTTGATTTTGCTCCATTTTTTCCGACTTGGCTGTGTTCCAATCACGTTTTGGTGCCACGTAGGGTTTTTTAGATGCAGCCACTGCAGAAGTTATTTCGGCTTTCATGGAGGAATGGTCCTCCAACTGCAGTTCTTGACTTCCGTCCATTTGTTTTTTGGCATTGTTCCAAATACGTCTTGGTACCACGTGGGGTTTTTCAGGCGTAGCCAAAGTTGTGTTTGTTCCACTTTCCCTATCACTGCTATTTTGCAAATGTAGCATTAGCTCGTGTTCAAGAACAACCCAGGAGCCAGCTTTTAGTTTTAAACATTCCTCTAGTTCTCCAGATTTTCTCAAAACCAAAAATGCCTTACCATTAATTTCCTCCTGCTGTACTTCACTCAAGTTTTCTTCTGGAATGCTGAGTTCCTGAAGCCAATTGCAGAGTTCATCAACACTCCAAGCATTTAACATCTGAAATGAAATGCGAGCCGTATGGGGTACATTCTTGTCAAATCCATCCAGATGTGGTTGAAGGTTATCCATGAGAATACTCCGTGGTCCCCGTTTCAGCTGAAAAACGGAGGCAAGCTGATCGACACTTTTACTAGCTAGCAACAACAATGCCCTTCCACTGATTGCTTGCTTTACACAAACCGAGGCATACTTTTCATCTAGCCCAATTTGATAAAGCCATTCCGCTGTTTCTTGACTGTTCCAATTTTCCATTAACTTTATGCCTGAAAAAAATGTCGGGGTTAAAAACAAAATGGTTCGCAAACTCCCTTATTAAAGCTGTTAACTATTGACGGAAAAGTAACGAGGGAAAATTTTTCCTTAAGGATATGACATGAGTTTCGGACAATTAAGAAACTTAATAAAAGTCCACATTCTCAGTTGCACTAAAAGGGTCGCCTTTGTTTCGCGTAATGAAAAGCTTAAACTGTACAGTATGTCACCCAGTATCCGGACACTTCAGTTTAAGATTTCAATAACTTTCCTTTGTTAAAAAATAAAACATTTTCTTTGAAAATATCACACATTACCCTCCCTTTTCTGAGCAGCACTGATTTTACTGCGCAGTAAACAGCGTAAATATTAGGCATGAAAAGTTTACTCACCTGAACAGAACGGCGTCTCCTGCGACTGTTTCGCAAGCTTTGAAATCGCCAAAACTTTCATCTTAAAGCTGAAATGTTTAGCTTTCATTCGAAATACTTCGTTTACCGAGAACTGAAAAGGGCGCCTCAAAAATTGAGTTTTTGTTTCAAGTGTCCGGATACTGGTAGCGTCCGGATACTGGGCAACATACTGTACAGATGTATGACAACGTTTTCCTTTGTTTAAGATTGATATAGCCATAAAATTCGGCTTTTGGTCATTAAGTTTAACGACCTATCTCCAAATTTAACAGCTCTTCTTGATAAAATCCGCCTTATATTACAATATTGTTGCATACTATGCTTATTAAATGTAACAAGTAATTTTGACCTTTATGCGGACATTAAGACTTTTTAAAACATACTTTCACCTCCAACAGCACCCTCAACTTGGCTTACTTCTGAGCTTTCTACAAAGTAAAATAAACATTGTCATAGATTCACACAAGCCAGCCTTGCTTTTTTACTTTAGTATGGTATGTTATGTTATCCCATCTTGTTTATACTCCGTATCAGCCGATAACTGTAGCGTTTTATATGCAACCCGAAATGTCTTCCTAGGTTTCTGAACAATATGATAATAAACCCTTTACTCTATTAGCTGATCCATTACAAATCGCAGTTTGATTTGTTTCTTTCCACTTTTTGACAAAAGCACTTTGATGAATGGTTGCATGAGTTGCAGGCCTTTTATGGGGGAGTTAGCCTGCGTAGCATGGCGGTTTTGTCGAGCCGGGCGAAGGAGCGGCGTAGCCGCGAGAAAAATAAGTTGCTCCCACCCCTTCAAGTTGCTCCCACCCCAATCCTCGCGGTTTCTCTGTCCTAGCCAGCCTTCATTTCTTAGCGCGCCCAACCAAAACCGCCATGCTACGCAGGCTATGGGGGAGTCCGCGGGTATCGTGGGAGTTGTGTACCATTCTCCTTACCTTGTTTTGAATTGGATGAATCTTGTTTAGCTCTTGCACCACCTTCACCTGGATGGCTTTTGGGAGGGGCTAAATGTTTTAAAATAGGACATAGTCATTACTTTCGAATCTAATGTTTCAGTTTGTGCAAGATTCTTTGTACTTTACGATACTTTTGCGTATTTATATTTCACCGGGGCATTAACAATGTTTAATCTGGAAATTCAGTCAACCTGGTTACACAACACAATGAAAAGTTATCTACCAAGCTTTGATTATCGTCCAAACCGTTTCCCTTCCGTTTCTGCTTCTCACATAGATACTTATTAACTACGGTCACTTAAAACGAAAAATTAAAAAAAAAATTAATTAAAAAATTGATAGCAAAGTTGCTTTCTTTTGTTCTTTGGAATCTGTTCATATTGGATTTTTTTTTTCGAGTTCACTCGAGAATAAATCCTTTTTCTGAATAATTTTTTCCACCTTTCTTTAATAATTGAAATTTGTTTTTCAATTATAAAGTTGTCTTTAACTTAATAAATTTACTCCACAATAGATGGTTTTGAGCTTTTGTATTTGCAACTAAAGATATAAAACCAAGCCAAGAGTAGACAATGACTAACTAAAATGTCTCCTTTTCCTGTAAGACCTAACGTTTAATTTTTTTTCCAAAACGCCAGAGGCTTCCATCAAATTAACTGAAGCCAAGAAATCTTTGACATTGCTCCAAAAAGCTCTTGTCACGGGACAATCCTAAAAGAAGTGAATGAGCGTTCCTTGGGTTACTTGAAAAAAGCAACAGTGATCGGTATCTGCAGCTTGAATCGTAAATAAAAATACATTGGTCGCAATTCTTCTGTGAAGGAATTTAAACTGAACGTTTCTGAGTTTCATGCTTAAAGTATATTTTCAAGGTAATAAATAAATGGACCCCCAGTCTTTTACCTGGTAAGTTAACGATTCAAGATGGAAAATACAAGAAAACCTAAATGCGGATGCAATTAAAACTGGATTGTAATTATAAGACTAAAATTGGGTCGTTTTTCTTACGATGCTAATTCTATGATTTAAGAGTCGCAGGAATATTAACCCTGATGCAATCAATGCATATATTTTTAGCAAGGTATTGTAATGACCAATTCTTACCTCCGCCCTTGAGGGAACCTGCATACAACACCAGCGTTACTCCATCATTTTCATCAAGGAGGGACCTCAAGCCAATACTGTCACTTAACTTAAATGTTAAAGAAGACTGAATTATGATCAAACAACTCTATATTCCATTATAGAATCCAGGAATCTAAACATCATGATCATGATGAATTTTCGAAAAGTGTATTGCCAGTCCAATAGTACCAATGAAGAGGCCATTAGTTCACAGCCTACACTTTTTAACGATTATTATTCGCCAAAGGCTAAGTTGATATTATTCAACAATAGAGAGATTTAGAGTCACGTTAATTTGTACCACGTGACCAAGTTTTCTTCTTTACTTTTCTTTTACTGTTAATTACTTTGACACAAAATAGTAGTTTCATGCTACCTGTAGTTTTATTTATAAGAATTGTTTTGGACCGTTTTTATCTGTTCATTTTCCATTTTGAGAAATTCTCAACTTGAATCTGACGTATGCCGTTTGCCGTAAGCGTGACGCTAAATCTCTATTATTTAAAGAAACTAAATGTAAACCATAAAATAACAAAAATATGGAATGACAAGAAAAAGCAAAACAATATTCAGGAAGAAATAAATAGAAATTGCAAAAACTCATTGTAGGGATTAGATACCTTTATACCGTTGAAGTAGAGCAATTGGTCTTTTATTGGGAGGCCTGTTCTCTGTGTTATTTCGCTTTTCACATCAGCAACTGTTGGCATGCTGGAGAACTGCAAACACAGTGGTCCAAGGTAGTCATGGTCAACGATCACCTGTATGCGTGAGCTGTATACAGGTAAAAGGCTGTTGTTAGCTATTGTTAAGGTACACCAATAATTCCCATAATTACTTATTCAAAATATTTCGCCGTTTCTGATTGGCTCCAATCCCCCCAGCTATTCTTTATAACCAGCTGTGGCTGACCATATTTTCAAGCTGTAGGCAATAACCAACCGATTCAAAGGGTTATTGCCCCAACAAAGCAGTGGCGCGGCAGACTAGCTGTTTGTGCATTAGTGAACTCAAACAAATGTTGAAAGAGTTCATGGCTATCTGAAGACGAAAGAGCCGAATTTCTGAACAGAAGGAACGGACGAAATGCAAGAATACTCCAAAAATATTGCTCAATGCATGTCATGTACTTTTTGAAGAGTATCTGCAAACTTGCAAAAATCATCTCTTTCAATCCTGAAACCGTGCCGACAAACAGACCAGTAGTCTTGAAGTAAGTCTACATGGGTAAATGATAACACATCAGGCCACTGGTATACAAAGTGTAAATCACTAATTGCCTTGTACACTGTGCTATTCACAGCATCGATCCCTCACTAGAACGTGTGCATGTATTGTGTCCTTTGAGACAAAAAGAAGCACAAACTCTATGTATTATGAAAAATTAATAGGCTGGGGAAAAAAAACAAACAAACAAGTTGTGGCTCACCTGATCGTACTTGAAGACTTTTGCTGCTCTTCTACTGGTACGTTTTTCTTTGCTTTGCCCAATTCACGGTCACTTTCACATACTAATGAATTAACAGCTTCTTTAAGGGGACCATTTGAGTCGTCGATGTTAGGTTTAGGATTTACATTTCCAAATTGAAAAGTCTCACTTTTATGTAACTCCACTTTGGATGCCTAAAAAAATGCAATAATTATTACCAGTTAACAACTGCGTCGCTTAGTGGAGGTGAGTGCCCAGGATGTTCAGGGGCTTCCACTTTTGGCACAGCCAGCCCCAAGACAGAGTTACGCCCCCACGGCTGGCAAACCCGCGCCCACCAGCTATGAGCCCCCAAGCCAAGCCGAAGGGACCTCCGAGCTGAACGCCAAGTTCGGAGAGAGGGGGCTCATGGATGGGAGAACCCGGAGGCACCCACGTACGCTGAACACGTAGAAACATACAAAGGCTAAACAAGACCTAAGTGCCAAACGTACAGCGCCAACGCCCCATAAACGCTACTGTACGAGAGTTTTACCAACCCTATCCCTCACAGTTTTGTGACGTTGAGCAGCACTACCAAATTAGGGCTAGGGCTACCAAATTAGGTAATGAGCACGTGCGTGCTGAGTAAGCTAGAACTGGACGAGTCGAAAAGATTGTGAGCGCGAGTTTTCCTTTGAGGTTTTTTCATCGAGTTTCGTGAGAGTTTGTGAGTCGGATTGAAGCGGAATAAACCAGGAAACCGTGTTATTGTGAGTTCTATGGGCTGTGTTATTGTTCAGCTCATTTTTAGTGCCGAGACCAGGATGCGAGGAAGAAATACACAACGCTAGCGAGACAGTTTGAGAAGCGAAGTGATCCTTTCTCGGAGTCAAAACAAACATGAGCGACAGCGAAGAACCGAGCGACGAAGAACAACGTCTCATAAAAGAGATCGACAAGGAAATTGAGAAAGTCAAGTACTTCATGGAGGAGATAGATGAACTGATCAAAATTCAGGATTATTCGGAGATGGAAATAGTCAACAAACGAGCTGTGAAAATCATTACAAAGCTATCGGATCTTATTTCACAGACAGAAGAATTAAGAATTGAGCGACGATTGTCGCCTCGGACGGTGAGACAGTGGAGAAAAGACATTAAATCAAAGTATGCAGCATCTGTTAGCGAAAACGAGAGGCTTAGAAAGTGTTCAGATGATAGAGAGGAAGAAATTACGCGAGAAAAAGAAGATTTGAAGCGGGAGCAACAGTTGGAAGATGAGCGGCGATTGTACGTGTTACGTGAAAAGCAACAGGAACACGAGCGTGAGTTGTGGAAGGAAAAGCTTGAAGCTGAATTACTTGTGGCAGAAAAGAAATTACAAATGGAGAAAACAGCTGTTTCCAGCACCACAAAGTTACCGAAATTAAAGATAACACCGTTCAAGGGTACCGCCGGCGACTGGATAAGATTTGAAAACATGTTCCTGACGCAAGTTGATGCGAAGTCGATTTCCGACGAAGAGAAATTCGGGTACCTTCTGGAATCCGTTAGCCCGAGGGTGAGAGACAGAATTGCAAATTTAAAGCCTGGAACTGTTGGTTACAAGACAGCGTGGGATCGACTAAAGAAAGAATATGGGCAAACAAAGGTCGTCACGAATGCGCACATGGAAGAAATCATTAATTTATTCCAAGTCAAAGGCTCCAATTATTTCAAGGTGCAAGAATTCTACGAGAAACTGAGTAGGAGCTATGACGCGCTTCAAACCCTCGAAGAAGGCCAAAAGTTACAAGGGTTTGTTATGACTACGCTCAACAAGTTACCTCACGTAAAGCCCGATCTGGTGAGAGTGGATGACAGTTGGGAGGAATGGTCCATGGAAGACCTGATTGATGCTCTGCAGAAGTGGCTTAGGAGAAATCACGTCGAAAGTAGCAAATGCGAAAAACATCTGTTCTCACAGAGGCAAGGAGATAAGCTGAAACCCTATTGCCTTTTCTGCCGAAAACAAGAGCACTGGAGTGAGGACTGTACCCTAGTAACAGCATTAGCGGACAGGAAGAAGTTCTTCATAGATCACAATTTATGCTTTAATTGTGGAAGGCAAAACCACAGAGCAGACCAGTGCCGTAGGCGTGGCTGCGCCAAGTGTAAACATAAACACCATAGAAGCATATGCGATAGACCGGAGAGGGAAAGCAGTAATCCAGATGGAGTGTCATTGACGGTCTACTCCAATTATGCAGAGGAGAAAGTGCTACCTGCGATTATTCCCGTCAGTATTGGGGGGCAAGTGCTTTGGGCCTACCTAGATACAGGATCTGGACGCAACTTCATTTCACGTGAAGCAGTCAAGTTAGTAAAGTTGAAACCGACACGTCACGAGACTCGCGAAATCTTGACAGTCAATGGAACCAAAGTCCAGACAATGCCAATCTTTGACACCCATATTAAGCCCCTGGACGGGAAGTCTTGCGAAGAGGTGGAATTCACTGGATCGAAGTTAGCTGATTTTACTACAGTGAGAAGGCCAGACATGAATCAGCTGAAGTTGAAGTACTCACGTACACAAGACAAGCGGTTCTACATGACGTCCACAGGAGAACATCAGATACACCTCATTCTCGCAGACGGTGTTTATAGCAGAATAAGGACGGAGAGAGCATTCAAAGGGCACCCGGGAGAGCCGCTGGTAGAGGAGACAACGTTCGGTTGGGTGGTCCATGGGGGAGACGAATATGGGAGTGGGAGCAGCTGCATGTACATGAGAGAGGTTAATGACTATGAGAAACTGTACAGTTTGGATGTACTGGGAGTCGAGGACCGGGGAGAGAATGATCAGCTGGATGTTCTGCGTGACTTTAAAGAGAGTGTTGTCAGAAAGCAAGATGGAAGGTATGAGGTTGGTATTCCTTGGATACCGGGAGCTACATTAACGAACACAAATAAAGCACTTAGCAGAAAGCGGCTTGAAAACGTGGAGAGAAAGCTTTCAAGAGATAAGAAACTGAAAGGAGAGTATGGTGGCATAATTGAAGAGCAACTCAGAGCAGGGGTAATCGAGGAAGCACCTCAGATTCCATCTGGAAAACGTGTGTTCTACATGCCTCACAAGCCAATTGTAAAGCAGAGTGCAGTTACGACTAAGGTTCGCATGGTGTTTGACCCAAGTGCTAAGCCCCAGCCTTTGACCTACAGCATCAATGATTGCATGTTCACTGGTCCTCCGTTGCAGCCGCTCCTTTGGGACATAATGATTAGAGTGCGAATGTCCACAAGTCTGCTCCTTGGAGACATAGAAAAGGCGTTTCTCCAGATAGGTGTGAAGGAGGAGGATAGAGATGCAGTCAGATTCTTGTTCAACAATAAAGGAACAGAGAAACATTTAAGATTTACACGTGTACCTTTCGGAGTTGAAGCAAGCCCTTTCCTACTGGGAGCCACTCTGCAGCATCACTTTGAACAACAAGGTTCAGAATTTGAAGAGACAGTGAGAGCACTTAAGGAGAACACTTATGTTGACAATCTCATGCAAACGGGAGGAAATGTAGAGAAACTCATGCAATTCAAAGAAGAGAGTACTGCCATACTTGAGTCTGCCAGGTTTCCGGTGCACAAGTGGGAATCTAATGTCAAGTTTCTTGAAAGTGAAGGCATGCCAAATTCAAGCAAGATCCTCGGACATGTGTGGAATAAGGATGATGACACATTGGAGCTGCTTGCAAAGCCTTTTTCACAAGAACATCCAGTGACCAAGCGCACTATATTCAGTTACCTAGGAACTGTCTATGACCCACTCGGGATAATCTCGCCCACCATGGCTGAGGGAAAGCATATTTATCGAGAAGCCTGCGATGAGAAGAAAGGTTGGAATGCAGAAGTTTCCCCTAGATTGAAGAACCAATGGTTAAGGTGGACGAAGCAACTTAAAGATGTGAGGGTGTCTAGAAGTATTGCTTCATTTGTCGGAGAGATAGGAGCAGTCCATTTACATATTTTCGCAGATGCCAGCATTCTAGCATGCTGTGCAGCAGCTATTGCGGTGGTAGAACATGAGGCAGGCGTGACCAAAGGACTTCTGACCTCAAAGTCGCGGATATCAAGGAGAAGTACATCAATAGCAAGACTGGAGCTCGTGAGTGGCCACATGGCAGTAAACATGGCGAAGAACCTCAGCACTGCTCTCCAGCAATGGCCCATTCAAACCATCAACATTTGGATGGACAGTATGGTAGCACTATATTGGATAACCAATCCTGAGAGAGGATGGAAGGTGTTTGTATCAAACAGAGTAAAGAAGATAGCAGAAACCGCTGGTCCAATGAACATCACTTGGAAGTACTGCCCATCAGAGTTGAATCTAGCAGATCTCGGAAGTAGAGGGGCAACCATTGTGAAGATGGAGAGAGGAAACTGGTTTGCCGGTCCGGATTGGCTCTTGGACAAAAGGCGGTGGCCGGAGCAGCCAAGGCTGAACAGCACCAAAGAAACAGATGAAGAGAGTAAGGTCACCCAAGAAGCAGTTCTCCGCACACAAGAGCGCATGTTCGATGAGTGGGATGCCTTGTTAGAAAGAAGCACCTACTGGCGTTTAATGAGAGTAACAGCATGGGCGTTACGTTTTATCAGAAACTGCAAAGCGAGAAGCAAGTCAAAGAAGATGTCAGGCCCATTAGTTACGGAAGAAATCACAGCTGCAAGTGACTACTGGGTAAAGCGAGTTCAGAAAGCAGAGGAAACGTGTCTGAAGTCCCCAGGATGGAAGTTGGTCAAAGATAACTGTACAGGAGTTCTCAGGTGTGAAGGCAGAATTAAAGGATATCGGCCGATTTACCTTCCTGGTGGTCTACTTGCGGAGAAGCTTATCCTTCACGTCCACAATCAGGTCATGCATCTTGGTGTCGCGAACACGATGGCGAGCGTGAGAGAGAACTGGTGGATACCAAAGTTGAGAGCGAAAGTGAAGAAGGTCATTAAGAACTGCAACATCTGTAAAGTATACTCCACCAAACTTTATGGAGTGCCATCAACTAGTGCTTTGCCAGAATATAGAACGGAGGGGAGCAGACCGTTTGAAGTAACCGGAGTGGACTTTGCCGGACCCGTGCTGTACAAGGTCGGTAAGAAAGAAGAAGGAAAGTGCTATGTCATTATTTTCACCTGTGCCAGCTCCAGAGCGGTCCATTTGGAAGTCGCAAGAACCCAAACGGCAGAGGAATTCAAGAGTAAGCTGAATGCCTTTATTTCGCGACGAACAAGACCTCGCATCATCATCTCGGATAAAGCCAAAGTGTGTAAGGCTACAGCAGACTGGATCAAGACAGTGAGGAGAAGTGAGAAGTTGCAGAATTACTTAGCACGTGAGAACATTCGCTGGCAGTTTAATCTTGCAAAGTCACCCTGGTGGGGAGGAATCTATGAGAGATTGATTAAGGAGATAAAGAAGACCTTGCATAAGACCTTGGGGAGGTCACATCTTTCCTATGAAGCATTTGAATCAGTCATCATGGACATCGAAAGAAATTTGAACAATCGCCCCTTGACATATGTTGAAGCAGAGAGAGAGGAAGAGGCGGTACTTACACCAAACATGATCCTGTGGGGACGAGATGTGTATGCTGTAGAAGACACCGAAGGCTCAGATGGAGAGAAGCTAACAAGGATGGCCAAACGATTGGAAAATGCTAAGGCCAATGCATGGAAACGCTGGAAAAGGGAATATGTCCATAGCCTAATGGAAAGTCACAGGCTTAACAACGAAACGGGAACTATACCTCAAGTGGGAGAAATTGTACTCATCATTGGAGACGAAAAGAACCGCAGAGAATGGAGAAAGGGAAAAGTAGTGCGTCTTATCAAAGGCAAAGATGATGTCGTTAGAGGGGTGACATTGTTACACAAAAGGCACACTATTGACCGCCCGCTTCAGTTAGTTTGTCCCTTGGAAATCAGAGCGGTGGAGAATGTTGACCAATCTCAAAGGGGAGAGAGAGATCGAGCTGATGAAGGAGAACAGAGACCAAGACGAGCTGCAGCTCAGAGGGCTGCTCAGAGAATCACAGAACAATTGCAAGAAGAAGAGAATTGATAAACTGAACTGTGTTTGAGTATAAACCGGACTGTCATATAGCAAATCGGATTAGTTTCAAGTTACGTTTGATTGTAAAAATTGCGTGCTACAATTTTTAGGGGAGTTGTGTACGAGAGTTTTACCAACCCTATCCCTCACAGTTTTGTGACGTTGAGCAGCACTACCAAATTAGGGCTAGGGCTACCAAATTAGGTAATGAGCACGTGCGTGCTGAGTAAGCTAGAACTTCGTGAGTTTCGTGAGAGTTTGTGAGTCGGATTGAAGCGGAATAAACCAGGAAACCGTGTTATTGTGAGTTCTATGGGATGTGTTATTGTTCAGCTCAGCTACAAACACTGTAAAAATGCCACAAACGTCCGACCCCAACGCCCCATAAACACTACTAACGATGTAAGCGCACAAAAACACAATCAGCCTGAACGCCTCATAAACGGTACAAACGCTGTGAACGCCACCAAAGTCCAACCCAAACACTCCATAAACAATACAAACGCTGTAAACGCCACAAAACATTCAGCCCCAACGCGCCATGAAAAAATTATAAAAGCTACAAAAGAACTCTAAAAAAGCCAATACAAGTAGTTGTACACTTACCCGCAAACAGACGCTAAAAGTACAAAAAAGACTATAATATTTTTATAGTACTACTAAAACTATTACTACAAAATACTAGAAGGAATGTGGGTGCCTGGTGTATCCAGGGGCCTCCACCGTGGTCAGCCAGCCCCTAGAATCCTCTCCCATGGCTGGGTTGCAGGGATTTGCCAGCCATGGCCCCCCTTTCCAGTCATCCGTCACACTGATACATGATGAATCAGTGGAAGGAGACATAGAGGGTAGGGTGCGGAGGGGGGACACTAAAACAACCGCTTCCAACCGCTTCACGCTAACGCAACCGCCACAAAAAAAAACGCTCAATTTGATACTCCTAGCTGTGACCAAGCAAAAACGTTCAATGTGAGTTGTGAGTTGACCGGCAGAGGCTGCTAAGCTCGTGGCGGACAACTTGTAAACTTCCCCTAAACACTCCTAGAAGCCATCAGTGCTTGCTCTGAGGAAAACTAGGTAAACCGACGAAGCCAGATGAAATGATCACACAGTTAACCGACTGCCTCGACGCTAAAACAACCGCTGCACAGACCGCTACACAAACGCTAAGGGAAAAACTTGAAGACCCTAGCTGTGTACAAAGCTACCAAGTACCATGCGAGCCTGGACTTATGGAATTTACAGGGGCACCCAACGTCAATTTTCGGAAAATATCTGTTCGGAAGACGATTTGAGATCTAGAATTTTCGGAACATTTTATGTAAAACTTCTTGCCTGCCTGCCTGCCTCTCCTAGGATTTTCGAACATCTAAAATATGGTATAATTGGCCATTTTTAACAAATTTTTACCCCAACTGGAATTTTCGGGAGCCTTTTTTCTGGCTGAAGTTTTCGAAAAGGTAAGTTTTGATCCCTGTAATTGTCGGATCACTAGACTCTCAACCAGGAAATGGGACAGATGAAAAATTTTTAGGGGATAAAAATATGCCTATATCTACTGTTCAAATACCAAAATACGTTTAACAATACTACGTTTCAGTGGTTTTGAACTATATTCTCGTTGGGTGCCCCTGAATTGACCACTGAATGCACAAGAGCTCGTGGACTGCTTGACTGCTAAGCTTGTGGACCGCTTGACCGCTAAGCTCGTAAGCAGTTTGACCGCTAAGCTTGTGGACCACAAACGTGTACAGAGGAAGCAACAAAATACTACAATTACATTGTAAACGAAACCGATGAAGAGAGGGAACACCGACTGTCGATGCTTCCAAAAGCGACGGTATCCGGTCATTTCGTTCCATGGTCAGTCAAAATTATCTTCTTCGATACAGCGATAGGCAGCAAGAATTATGCACGTCAAGAAAGTCTTTCCAACGGACTCGGGACAGCCGATCAGCCTTTACACCATGAGCAACAATGGGTTTTACAGTAAGCTTTACTTTCCAATGAACAGTTTAGAACACCGATAATGTGTGACATGTTTAGGGAAGCGTTACATTGGTAAACAAAATCCTTTGTGTAACAGACACAGACGATGACATATAAAACAAAAGAACAAAAAACCATGAAAACATACCAAGCAGATTTTCCCTGAACAGAAAACAAACACATCATCTGTGTCCAGTACACGAAGTTTTGACTGGAATTTGGAATTCATTAATATCTGCACAAATTGTCAATTCATTTGGTTAGGGAAAATGTAAATTTGACTGCCAGTCTCTGGCAACCATGTCTCAACAAGCTTATATATATTGAGAATTGAAATACTGATCACCTTCAACATTACTTTTATGTGAACATTTCATATAAATTCGCTCTTGCATGAGTAATTGTTTCTCATGCATGTACACAAATAACTATAAACACTTTCATAAATGATTTGGTATTTTTTACAGTGACAATTCAGTGCTAATGAGGGTACCGCATATTCAGTAATCATGAGTCACGATCACTTTCAAAGTTCTCCTCAACTGCATCCTTAATGACATAGCCTGGGAACAGGCTCCGCAGTGGGGGAAAAAGGGAAAAAAAGGGGTCAAGTAGGAAAAATATCACATTGCTACATGTAATTATTTCTATTTTAGTGTAAGTGATGATGTTTACACCTTACTGTTACAAACAATATTAGTTGTCAAGTGTGATTATGTGCTACAACAAGTGCAAACACTCTCTTGCTCATTCACTTAACAATCAATATTTTTTTCCTCCAATTACCAATATTTACTTGTTATTTTCACTGCAGCATTATCCCCTACCATTTCATCCACTCACTACTTATGACACACTTCACAAGTAATAATTATTATTAGCTCGGCACTGGACCAAATTATCCTCAAATTCAACAGGTCACAGAAAATCGAGGATTTAACCAAATCCAAAAATTCTTTCACAGATATACTCCAGAAAGTAAGCACATTCATTTAAGCAAATTAAAAAAAAAATGGGGTTAGGTGCACTTTAAAGATAGCATGTGTTTGCTGCATATTCGCCTGCAGTTATTCACTATCACACCCGTTTTTTTTACTATAATTACACATGTAGGAGGGTCAAATGGGGTGAACACGGGACCTATGAAACATTGGCTTACCCTTCCTTAACAACACCAATCCCATTTCAGTCGCAGAATATCCTTTTTAACAAAACAGCACTGGGTTGAAATTTACTCCAACCAAAAGGTGATTAACTACATCTGACCTTCCAATATTAGAGCCAGTGTTGAAACTCGCCCTCCCAAGCTACCCAATTTACTCCAATTCTCTCCCCCTTCCATCCCTGACATTTTATGCCCCCCCCCCCGAGCTTCTGCAATACACATATTTCTAGTAATAATAATAAATAAGCTAAATGAAATTTTTAAGCAGATAACAACAAGGGGTGCCATCTCTTGTCACCGCTCAGCAGTTGTTAAAAATGATAATATTAATAATGACAACAACAATAAAAATAATAATAAATTTATAAAGTGCCAATACAATACTTAAAAATATTTAAAAGCTCTTAACATTCAACACTGTTTACAAATAATTATAAATGAAAGTGCTTTTAAACAGAATAATGTTTTATGTATTAGTTGTTTATTAAAATGGAAAGGTTGCTTCTACCTTATCACATGAAATTTTGGCGACACTTTAATTCAGCAATTATAAAAAATTAAAATGCACCAAAATTAAGTGTTGCTAAATTTACATCGTCGCTAAATTAAAGTGAGTGCAATACAAAATTCCACCATCTGGTCTTTTTCACACAATCATCCAATTGATGGTCGATTTTGACGTGTATCAATGTAACAATTTACATTAAATATGAGTGACGACAGCATTAAAATGACATTACAGTTGCAGTTTCGTTTGTTTTGCTCAAAATTAAGTTTCAGAATGTTGTATGATTTAGATTTAAATGAAGCCATTGACATTTATGATTATTTTTAACACAAAAATGCTCTGTTATCGTCGTAAAAGTTTTGAATACCTTAATTCGCCAAAGTTTCAGTTCGTGAATAGCGAAAATTAAGTGACTTATGTTCCAAAATTTACGAAAAATCGCTAAATTAAAGTGCCGCTAACTAAGGATTAATTTTGTCAAAATCGCCAAATTAAACGTGTTGCCAAAATTTCATGTAATAAGGTAGTTCTAATCGATAAAGGCAGCAAGTTCCATAAGACAGGAGCAGCATGAGTGAAGGTGGGATTCCCAAGTGTACAGCAGTAGCATAATTGACTAATAATGACACATACATTATAATGAATTATAAGACCAACCTTCTTATTCTTTTTTTTGTGCTTTGGCCTCTTTCTAAATGAAGTTGTGCCAACATCACCAAACCACACCAATGAATCATCTCCCTTTCTCTTTCTTCTTCTCTTTGGCTTGGAGTGTGAGAGCATACTGAAGTCAGGACTAAACTGAATGGCATGTTCTGGAGTCTTATACTTCAGTGGTTTGGGTTCTATTTTAACTGTAAATGGTGCATGTTCTGTCTTTTTGGGTTTTAAATTGTGGCCGTTCCTAAATGGCTTTCTAACATAAGGGCATGCCTGGACATGGTAAACTTGTCCAACACCATCACAGTACAGTAGTGTCTAAAAACAACAAATTCAATTACAATTGAAGAACTAATAAGGTCCTTTGGTATCAATGTCACTCAAACTTTCACCTCTCCTCCAAGGAGGTGCAGTGCATTTCAGAAGCTCAGAAATTTCAAGCCACCCTCCCCCCAATTCATCCTCACTTTTAAAAAAGGACCCCCCAGAGATTTTACATAACGTGAAGGTGAGCCTACACTCAATTGCTGGGGAAACTACGAACATAATTCTAGCTAAAAATCGTACCGAAGTTCACCACATACTTTATCTACAGTTGTATAATTTTTTAAGATTGGTGTTTACTATTTACGGCTGTCGCATTCATTTTCAACTTTGATTAATGACAGTTATTAAAATGACCCCCAGGTAATGCTCCCTTGTCTAAGTCTTTGACTAACATGCAATGCAGGCAATCTCTATTCCCATTTATGGAAGGGTTAAAGCCAGGGTTTATTTTTACTTTTATGTCTGGTTGCCCCTGGGGCAACCACAAGACTTAGTTTGGTTGCCCATGGAATATTTTGGTCATCCAAGGCAAACTCTTACCCCAGCTCAATCCAAGAAAGTAAAAAACTGAGGTAGCTCAAGTTGGCAACAGTTTTATTGGTTTTTCACAATAAAATGTACGTCATTTGCTTCAGGTTTTTTTTTATCACAGGCTCTTTCAGGCCAAACGTTGAGCTCTGAGTCAATGTTTTTCTGCGTCTGTTTTCCAATTACTTTCAACTAACTTTTAGTTATCGTGAACCCTTCCACAATGCAAAAAGCTACAATATTTTTCTCTCTTTAGGGACTATTGCCTCTGCAGATTGGGTTGTCCAAGGGGCAACCACTCAGCACAAATTGGTTGCCCCACTGATAATTTTTGTTGTCCAGGACAACCAGACAACTGTTAATTTTGAACCCTGGTTAAAGCAAGAGTGGTCCTTTGACTGTTTGGCTCCAAGGACAAAAATTTGGGCAGCCTCTTGTGAAAAGAATGCAGGTGTAGACTAGACTACGAGCAGTCTCTTGTTTTTCTTTACAAAGTTACTGCGTGCGAAACCTAAGCACACGAGCAGCGAAGCCATGAGCTGCGAGAAACGAGGGCATAAGCCCGAGAAGAAAAAATAAGAGACTGCTGACTCTTTTGTTCTGTCTGGGGACAACAAAGCTGTCAAGGTAATTTAATTAATCAATTAAACACGAGTAACTTGAAACGATTTATAAATAGAAAACAAACAACTGCAAAAATTACTCTTTTTTTAAATCTGGTAAGATTGCCTTGAATTCGTTGATTGCCTTAAACTGCTCCATTTTAAAAGATATAAAAATCCGAGGTTTCACTGCTCAACAGCATCATCATCTGTTACTTCTTTTTCTCTGTTACTCCTGAGGCTTTCACAAAGATTTAAACTTGCTGCAGAATATGCAATTACTGGGCAGGGAATTAAACAGCTTGGAGGTTCTTTTGGTTCTATTTTCCTTGTGTTTTCTATAAAGTATCTAAGGGTCATTTTTGTAGTATGTGGGGGAAATACCTCCCCTCAAGACAGCCGTGGTAACTTTCTTTTTATAAAAGCTGAGTGTAGTCCATAAAAGTAATATATTGCAGGTCTATTAACAAGAAATGTAAAACAAAACAGGTAAAGAAAGAGAGGGAAATACAGTCGACTCTTGATAACTCGAACCTTTTGAGTTATCGGGAGTTCGAGCTATTGGGAGCATGAGGAAAATAGCCGCGAGTAAGGAAAAAACAGTTTTTAATCACCCATTTAATTGTAGAAAGGTTATACATGTGATAATTGAAAGATCAGAAAAGATACTCCTAGATTATAAATCATAACATAACATAACAAAACATTGCCTAAATAGAGCATGCAATTTACCGTTTTGAGAAGTAAAGCTGTTTCACGTTAGATTTGTGACAAACAACGTCGGCCTCCACTGGTAAACAATGCCTACAACACGTCAATGGGAAACTCAAAATTCAATGTTTTGGATGCCAGTACACTGTTTTTTCCTGACTTTTTGTGGGCTCAAAACATGGTTCGAGTTATCAAGAGTAAAATTATATAGAAATGATCTGAGGGGAAACAAAAATTGCTTTGAGTTAGCGGGAGGTTCAAGTTAATGAGGGTTTGAGTTACCAACTGTAAAATTACAGTAAACGTATGACAGAAATCCAGGGGTAATCGACTTTGGCTCGAGTTAGTGCAAGGTTCGAGTTAGAGAGGGTTTGAGTTATCGGGAGTCAACTGTATAGGCAACATGACCACTATAGGGTTCTAAAGATACAGTAATGTAGACTGTCAGTCCAAAATGGCTACAAACAACTCACAACTCCCAAATATCATATATTCACCACTAGAGGGCACAACATAAAATATTTAATATCCCTGGCAGAAATTCAATTTTTTTTTTCACAAATACGTACATTTCCCAACAAGCATTTCACTGCTTCAGGGCTAGAAAGAGTCACAAAAGCAAAACTCTGGAAGACAAAACAAAAATTGTATTTAACTCTAACACAAAAAACAATCACAAGTTAATTATGCTTCCCGTCAAATTTACTTAACAGTAAATAGGAAATAAAACAATTCTAACCACCTACAAAAGTTAAATAATATTCAAGGTAAAATACATGGTAGCTCTGTCAAAAGGGAATTAAATGTAAATGTGTGGGGGAGTAATTCCTCTATGGACTTGAGAAAGAATCAATACCATAAACTCCATAACGGCTCTCTTACTGAAGCAGAGCTTGGGTGCTTACCCATTGACAGTGTTCTCCTAATCGGACAGTAACAGGTAAAATTTACTGCCTGAAGCAACACTTCTTACTGCATGCAACCGCTTGAAGGTTTACCAAAATTAAATAATTTAAAAAATATATAAATATATGCAAGTTGTGATCGATCCGATCCTCACAAGAAAATGAATTCGTGAAAAAAGCAGCTACTTAAGTACAAAACGTACAGCCCAAAAATAATGCACATGCAAGAACTTCTTTTTGCGTCTGCTAGCTGGCAACCTTGTGCGGCTTTTTTGCGGGGCACTTGCGCTTGAATCCAGCAAGACGCAAGAACTTCTTTTGCAGTTACAAATTTAACCACAAGAAGTTCTTTGCTGTGGGATTTTCGAATTGCAGCACAACAACTTCTTCCAGTGCGATACAATCTATCAATCTATTCATACCAGCCAAAACGGTGCAGAGATCAAATTGAGGTCTTCAAAACTAAGGTGCATATTTTTGCAGAGTAACACCACAGAAGTTTTTTTCATTCAGGCGATCATTTTTACTTTCATAGATAGATTTCATTGAACATTTTGCACACAAAATTATTCAACAGGTCAGATCAAGATCAAGCGAGGCATTACGCTCAGCGTTTGAAATGTTTACATTATCCTTTGGCGATTTTTTTCGTTTGCATAGTTTCTATTGTTTTCTAATGATTTCTATCATTTCTGACAGTTTTCGTTTGTTTCGCTTCTTTCATTAGCCATTTGAAAGAGTTTCACAAGCGACCATTGGTTCATCAAACATTTGCGACATCGCTGTAGACGTGTGACAATTTAATATGACAATAAAATAGCTGAGCTGCTTTCTGTATTTGTCAGTGATTGATCGCTAATCTATACTTTAGGAACATAGTTTTGAACATTCAAAACCCAAAAACCGTTTCATTCTTGCTGGTTTACAAAAACGGGGAAAAACTACATAGATAACAAGTGTAAACAAAAAAGATAAGCTAAAAATACTTTCATGGTTTTTTAAAATGCGCACTGCAGCTTGTTTTGGAAAATAAGGATCAGTGAATTTTGAAAGGGTATGTACAACAATTAATTTTGGTGCGCAATGACCGAACGGCCGCCGTCGTCGCTTTTTCTTGCCCACAAATCAAACTTTTGAAGGCATTCGTTTAGCTCTTGCGGGGAAATTTCTTCAAAAGGAGTTTTGTATTTAAAATCATTCTGTAAAAAAGATAATTAAATTTAGTTTTAAGCTTATTTATGAACAAGTCAGCTAAATAAAGTAACGCAAGACTTAAGCTTAATTTGCATTTGTAAACGAAAAACTTTTTCATCGGTTTTATCGATAAATTCAAGTCAAAAAGACAAAGCTTTACCTGTCAAAACTTCCAAACCGAACTTTGTCACCTTCTTCGTGTATTTTGGTAACAGCTTACTTGATTAGTTGTGAAATTTCTTTGATTATTATGGCAGCAAACTGGGAAGGCATTTTGCTCGCAACTTACGCGACTTTGGCGTCCCTCGCTCGGAGGAACTGGAGGTGAATCAGTGAATAGTGCAGGATATTCACTGATTGAGTAGCCAATCAGAGCATGCAAAAAACACTATCCACTGTTTTAGTATATACTAAATAAAATTATCTTGCGCAAAGGTAACCTTTTAACTGAGGAAATGTATGCAATTTTGACAAAAAAAAGCAGCGCTTCAAAAAATAAAGAACGATCGTACTACGTTTCGCAAAAGAGCTGTGTAACTTGAGACCGCACATGCAACTGTGTCAACTTAAAGCGCTCTTGGAAAAAACACATACTATACTAATGTAAGAAATATTTTTACTAAAGGCTCTGTCAAATTACTACAATAAAGTAATAAATAGTTGCCATGTTTTCTTTAGAGCCGTGATATCCATTGTGGCAGAAATTTAACGCCTTCGGTTTGTTTTGCCGAGCCTATAGTATTGTACTATGAGACGATCCAAAGGTTCGAAACTACAGATCATTTTGTTAAACAAACGCTTCACACTCTTTATCTAACTTTGGAAAAGCTGAACGATTGAAGTGTTCACTTTGCAGAAAAAGCAGAGAAAGCCATCCCTTTCTCAGGCAACTTTTTATGTGTGGCCTTGCATGATTACCTTTTGCTGCCACAGGGTGAATTACTGTAGTATCAACACTACAAAATGATGTTGTAATAAGAAGGCGACAAACACCACAAAATTCTTTCAGGTTAACACTTATAAACAACTTCATGCGCCTTCTTGAGGCTTGCGGTAATTTTCTAGCTTCTTGCGGTGAAGATTTTCGACTTCTTGCGATCCAAAGTGGGTCCGCAAAATACGGCACTTTCACTTTTTGCGGTGCTTGCATGTTCTTACAGCGAAGCAACTTGTTATGCCACTTCTTACGCGTGCATTATTTTTGGACTGTACTGTATATACAGCTTTCCTTTTTAGGGACACACATTTTGGAAAGAGAACATTAAAGACATAGTAAAATTATTGGAATCAAAATAATGCTTTAAATCGTTGTCTAAAGACAACAATGGCTGATTTGCGTAAAATAGGTCTTAAAATATGGGAATCCTTACCTCCTAAACTTCCCAGTAAGGGCGGGTCCATGTCCCTCACTCCACTTCACCCCTCCCAGAAAAGTATATATTACTTTACCGTCTGTGAATGGTCCCTTACCTGCTGAGCTAAAATTTAGGGATAACACTGCATTGACGTCACATAATTTGGATTTTGGATCATATTTAGATCATGGGCTCAAGTTTTTGTCACAGAGGTGAATGTTTCAAGCATTTAACAGCTCTACTTTTTATGCCTGTGTCTATTTGCACCTGCTACACAGGGATTCATGCACTCACCCACTGTCTTTATGATCAGTTTGAAAGGACTGAAAAATGTACTGCAAGTCAAACTAAATGATTAAGTTTTAAGACCAGAGAGAGTGTGGTAATGATTGAATGGACTGAAAAGAACCCTTTTTATTCACATTCAACCCATTTTTATATCTTAAATATCTTCAGTCAAATGGAAAAATTTACCTTTTTAGGGGGAATGCTAACTTTGGATACCATGCCAGGAAGATCACACACAGCTAGAAAGTGAAACAAATAATGACATTATACTTTCATATGCTATTGCTTTATAAAATAACTTTAAGTTTTCTATGAGTTTACCTGCACAATAAACCATAGCTTTTTGACCCATCAGAACGCACATACTATCTTAGCTATTTTATAAACTTTCATATACCAGTAAATTTAACCTCACTCCACTTTTGAATATACATGGCAGAATTCATCTGAACACACCATTTAAATAATTTATTTTAGTATACATGTAATTACTTGGGTAGTAAAAGAGATGTGTACAACTTTTCCTGTTTAACTTGCAATGTATTTGCACTTGTGTGAACTCTGAATCTTAGCAAAAAGATTCCTACCACTGAACCACATCTGTAAAAAGTTAAAAGTTCACCTGTTGTTGCTGAGCTAACCTTAAGTCTGTGGTCCAAGGTAAATCATACGTGCTGGTGTCATAGTGTTTATTTTTTAGATCTTGTTTACTGTGGGTAATGTCGACTGAGATATCGGTCGACATTGCGGTCGACATAGCGGTCGATATAGCGGTCGACAGTCGGTCGACAGTCGGTTGATAGTTGGTCGATGGTCGGTCGATAGTCGGTCGATAGTGAGATAGACTATCGGCCGAGTATCGGCCGAGCACCTCGACTTACTATCGGTCATATGTCGGTGATATATCGGTCAACTGTCGGTGGTATATTAGTCAACTGTCGGTGGTATATCGGTCAACTGTCGTTCGAATATCAGTCGTGTGTTAATTTATCAGGTGAGTCCAATGGCTTTTTTTTAAGCAAAGACGTCATTAATTACTGTTATCATGCGATGGGGGAACATGTGGTAGTGCGAGGCGCGATTACTCTATGAAACGAACCGAAGAGTACTGGGAACTAAGGACATGATAACCTTTTTTTTTCCAGTTTGTATCATCACCGATCGTCTGAGTTTTAGCTGTTAAACAGAACCTGTCTCAGCCTAAGTTGAATCTGCTGCTCCTGTGGTCCCGCAGTCGAAGAATACTTAAAGAAGGACGAGTGAAATGACTGCTCCGGCAGTCCCGAAGTGGACAAATAATGAATAGGAAAAGGCAGTTCATGACATGCTTTAAGAGCGAGGAATACACATCGTTTATTATCGGGCTTTGACTTGCTTCATCACGCCAAGTTCTCGTTTGTGCAGAGACCACAAATTAAACTTATATATTTCTGCATTGAAGACGGGAACAGTCCTTTGTTTAACGATCAGTTATTGATAAAACGCGCTGATAATGTGCTGAGGAAGGTGACAAAAATATCCAGCAGACTGAACACATTCATTTATTGTGGGAAATACTCATACGTTCTCATTACATTATCCTGTCCTTTTGCTCTGTCCTTTCGCTTTATATTTATATTGTGTTCAAAATAAAGACGACCATGCATATACAGAAATTAATATTGAATGGTAAGTCACTTTTTGTCATCCAATAAAAGGAAAACAGTATGCGTCGCGTTAACATTAATATTATCTTAACTTGTTAAGGAAAAACAAGTTAAAAAAAATGAACTGTAAATACATTTTTTCATCAATGTAGTTCTGAGTCGGTTGAAAAATTCTCCGCATAGGAAAAATCAGCCAGATATAGGCCTTACAAGGTGGGAATAAATCACATAACAAGAAGCTGAAGGCCTATCATTCTCACTTAGCGGACTTCTTCATGATTCAATTCTAGCCGGCTACGCGTAACGAGACACCCCCACCCCTAAAAAAAAAAAACCGGGGAGGAAACGTCTGCGAAAAGGTGGTGGGCAGGTAGGCTAAATCCCATTCACATGAATTAAAATAAAAGGCTAGATAAATGACTAATAGCTATTATTCCGGAATTTTGGCTAAGTACATTGAAGTTTGAAATTAAAAAAGCAGAAACACAATTTAAGAAAACAGTTAGGTCCAAGCTAGAAAATGCTTTCTAATTTCTTGTTTTCCAAGCCAAAAAATGTAGGAAATGCAAAGTGTCGACCGACCATCGACCAATTACTGAACGATACATCGGTCAAGTATCAACCAACTATCGACCAACTATCGGCGAAGTGTCGGCGAAATGTTGGCGAAGTGTCGGTGAACGAAAAGCTATATCGGCCGAGACACATCTGGAACGACTATCGACCGAGTGTCAACCGACTATCGACCGACTATGGACAGACTATCGACCGCTATATCGACCGACTGTCGCCGAGTGTCGACCGAGTCTTGACCGAGTATCGACCGACTGTCGACTGAGCTCAACCGACTATCGACCGAGTGTTGACCGACTATCCACCGAGTGTCGACCACTATATCGACCGATATCTCGGTCAACATTACCCACAGTAAACAAGATCCTATTTTTTAAACACAACACATGTAGATAAGAAGTTGCTACACAAATGAATGTGACTGCTAATAGTTTTGCAAGCATGTGGTTTTAGATGGATGTTCTATAAGCTGGAGTTAAAATGGCCCCAAGAGAAACTGAAAATAATGCTTATGCAAAATTTTGGGGTGACAAACAAAGAGCATTATGGTATATGATTGTTATGGTGTTTTCTGGAGTGGTCAATACAAGACCATGCTCAAACCTTGGAGGAACAACTTTGAATGAAGGGGAGGAGGGAGGAGGGCAGACGTGTGACTAGCAGCAATTTGAAGTAAGAAAGGCCAGTTCTCCATCGGAGTGTTGCTGGGCCAACATTTTTGCAACTCAGGTTGTAGCTACAGAGTGATCAGATGAGTAACACATTTGCCTCTTACAGCATAAGCTCTTTGGATCCTGCTTAACTCTTTCTTAGCTAAATACATCCCTGGTCTTTGTCACCGAGTTTGGCATTTTATAGGCTGATATACTTGCTTTAATTTATGATCACAGGTGGAATTTTCCAGAAAGCTAAGTGGTATTGCTTTACCTATTCACCCATGGAAATTTTGACAAAAACTTCCTTTTCAAGCTAGTCAAGCCATTTTTTTAATCACTTTCTGCCCAAAAATAAACAAAACTGCCCAAACTGTGTTCCTGATGCTAAATATGACCTTCCAAAGTTTGGGCATGTGCAGAAGGCAAAATTTGGGTAAACAGTATCAAATGAAAAACAGGAGTTACATAGCCTGAATTTCAGACATTACTTTGACTCCATTACTCCCTCACTAAGATCTGAATCAACCAGCCATTAACACCATCCCGTGACATCACTACTCCTTTGCTTTAACTTATGCAAAAAGTAAAATAGGACTTTTAACTGGCAAACAAAGAAATATCATCGAGAAATGTCTACATGGTACAGAATTGCTTTACTTTCTAGTTGAGCTTGCTGTAGCAGAGCAAGACTTTCATTTGTCTTCCTCAAATGGTCAGCCATGGCATAGTCCCAGGCATTCCTAGCGGAGACCGTGGAAACTGGATAAGAATCATGATGACTTTCATGGTATGCAAATGAGTCTTGTGATGAGCATACGATTTATTTTCACCAATGATTAAAATGACACGCCCTGCTCTACTATTCCCGTACATGCAGTAAAGAGTAACCTTTAGAGCTGAAGGGAATGTGTTTGATACCTGCTATCTCCCATTCTTTGTTTCATAAAGCGTTGTTATGACAAGGAGGAATTTGATACTGATCTTTCTTAGGGATATTTTAATATGCTCCCTTACTTTAGTTTGTGTTCGTGAGGATTGGCCGGTTCTGGGACTATTGTAGTTTCTGTCCAAGATTACACACACAATTGTCATAGCGAATTACCATAAAAAGCAAATATCCTGAATACTCGACCATCGATAAAGAAGGAAGTGAAAAACTTCTAGCAAGGCAGGGCTCGACTTTCCGAAAAAATCTTGGAGCCAACTGGCCTCTAAGTTTTCGTTTTTGGTCACCAGGACAAGTATTCTAATTGCTAAAAATTATCTTCAAAAAAAAAAATTAGAATACAATGTACTAAGGGTCTTTAAATAAACCTCAACAAAATGGTCAATAAGTTACAGAAAGTCAATCCTGAATATTCGCCATCTTAAAACAGTGGACAAGGCCATCATTTGAACCATCCCATTCCAGTTGTTTGTAAGGCATGTATCATGTGCTTCTGCGCGAATAGCTTCTAGACAATTTTTTGAGTTTGTCATTTCTTTCTCGCCCGCTTCTGTTAGCATAGTTTAGAACATAGTAGCCTCCGAATAGGGCGTCTCGTTTTCTATTTCCAAGAACCTGTCTTGAATAGTTTGTATGTAGAACTCTGAGAAAAATAAAAGTTCTCCAGCAAGGAGTAGTCTTATCACATCACTTAGTGATTCGTTTCCTTTTAAACCCAAAAAATTTTGCTTTCTACACATGCCCGAACTTCACAAGCTAATACTTTGCATCTTGATCAAAAGGCCGCGAAGTGTACGACCAGTAAACAGCTTTGTGGTAAGTTTTGGCGCTTAAGGTATCAGCCACCCTTAAAATTGCCATTTTTCCATATTTGAGGTTTCAACGTTTTCAAATAGATATGCTTGAGAGCTTTCTTTCAAAAAAAAAATCAGAAGAAAATATTATTTCTGTCGAAAGATATCGGTGGTAAAAGATTTTTTCTCGTTAATTATCTTAATTGATCGTTGACAAGATCTGTCATACCCGTATCATATCAATTAACTTGCCTGTGAACTAGTAACGTGATTCCGAGTGCGTGATTGGACACAACACGTGCGAATTGTCTTCGCGTTGTTCATAGCCTTTAGTATTCTCCGTGGATATTTAGCGTTTGCTTCGGTGAAAATGCCGCCAAGAAAAAAGAAAAGGTTGTGTCCGTTTTCGTCATCGAAACCGAGAGCGAGAAAGAAATTGAATGGGCCGCAAAATTTTATCAGCAAGAGAAGTGGCTCGAGGAGTTGGATATTCAGAAAAGCGAAAATGCTGCAGTTGCTGAGAGTGCAAGCCGCTCCAAAATCCAGCTTGAAGAGCCAGATGAAGAAAGCCAATTAAGCTCATCGACCCCATCTGCTGATGGAACGTGGAAAACAATAAGCGGTCGAGCTATCGTATCGAGAGAAAAGCTGCTTGAGAAACTGGACGAGTCTGTATCTTGTCGATTTTGCCGGGGAAGAGTCCAAGTCATGGAAAATGTAGCGACTAAGCATGGACTTGGTTCTACCTGGAGAATCCAGCGAGAATGAAAGCTGTCCGTCAGACAAGACAAATTCTGTTTTTAATTCTTCCGAGAAGAGCAGAGCGTTTGAAATAAACCGGACCTCAGTTCTTGGCCTTCGAGCAATCGGTGGTGGACATTCGGCGGCTTCAAAATTTTTTAGTTTCCTTGGCCTGGCGCCGATCAACAAATCATACAAAAAAGATCGAAGGAGATGCAAAACTTTTGCTCGAGAAAGAATTAAACCGTGCTTCTCGTGTTGTAAAAGAGTGGAAGTTTTCCTGTTACATGTTACCTGTCAAAGTCCTATTGTTAGAGAAAATTGATCCCTCTCTGATATCAATAAGAATAAACATTTAGGTGTTATAATCTCATTCAAGGTACGATACCGCCAAAAATGTATTTTTTTTATCTCCGAACACAAATTTTGCCGATCGACTCGCACGTTTTGAACTCCAAGTCGGCAGCCTTTCAATCAATTTGGCTAAAATTTGGCCAGAGTGATGCCATATATCTCTTCTACAAAACCGTGTCTGCGAATTTTAATACTCCTTTTCATTTTAAAGCTAGAGCTTTTTTTCCACAGGGAGTGTTGACTAATTGCCTTCCCCAACTTCATTTGCTAATAAAAGAAAAACCAACGCACTTGTCAAAAATCTGAGACACGGTTTTTTAGTGGAACATGTTGAGAAGCAAATGCGGTGTTAATTGTTTTCTTCCGTTTATTTCCGGCGGGAGTGGAACATGATTTATAGAGAGGTGTACGTTTACACAAAGCGTTCCAATTTCGAAACACATTTAAGTAAATCGTTTTTGTTAGTTCAAATCCATAATCTGGAATTATTAAGCTTTTAAAAAATATATGGTTTATAGGGGTTTTTATAAAAACAACTAACGCTACAGCGATCCGCGCGCGGACGGTCCTGAAGGGTGGCTGATACCTTAATAGCACGACAGTGACCAGAAAACCGCTTGACTACCTTCAAAACGTGTTTTTTAGCAAAGTTTCGAAGGGCGAATGGGTTAACGAAGCAGAAAAAAAACAAGAAAGAAAAGCTAACAGAATCATTACACTTGACGGTGGAAATGACAGGAAATCTGAATTACAAATCTAACAAAAAATCGATTGCTGACACTTAACATAAACAAAATCAATGCCGAAATCACAAAGTGGCTCTAAATGAAAACCTACCGACTCTCTGCAGTGACTCTTCATTTGTAGTTCAATTTAACAAGTTATAGTTTAAAAGACAAGGACAATTTTGTTGATTCCGATATTGATGATTGTCAAAATTCCACGCAAGCATGCGAAACTCCACGCAAGCATGCGATCCACTAGTCCTGCTGAAATGTCTCATAATTATACATAATTATGTGAATGCTTGGACTATCAACCAATCTAAATCACTTTCTGGTTTTTGGGTAGTGACGTCACTGGACGGCATCAACAGCTGGTTGATTCAGACGTTACTGACGGAGTAAGGGACTCAAATGAATGAAATTTAGGCGGGTCTTGTTTACTGTGGGTAATGTCGGTCGATAGAGCGAATAATGAATAGGAAAAGGCAGTTCATGACAGGCTTTAAGAGCGAGGAATACACATCGTTTATTATCGGGCTTTGACTTGCTTCATCACCCCAAGTTCTCTTTAGTGCAAAGACCACAAATTAAACTTATATATTTCCACATTGAAGACGGGAACAGTCCTTTGTTTAACGATCAGTTATTGATAAAACGCACCGATAATGCGCCGAGGAAGGTGACAAAATATCCAGCAGACTGAACACATTCATTTACAGTGGGAATGATTTCAATTTACAGCAAGGAAAATACTCATACGTTCTCATTACATTATCCTGTCCTTTTGCTCTGTCCTTTCGCTTTATATTTTGTTCAAAATAAAGATGACCATGCGTATGCAGAAATTAATATTGAATGTTAAGTCACTTTTGGTCATCCAATAAAAGGAAAACAGTATGCGCCGCGTTAACATTATCATGTTATGTTCGCAACACTTATTGTTCGCGTCACTTTAATTAAAATCGCGCAATTTGCGAAATTACAGTGTCGCGAAAATTTCAGATTATAATAAGGTAAAAAAAATCCTGTTATGTTGTATTGGAATTATTTCTTTGCTAAGTATTTACTGATTGTAAAGCGCTTTGGATCACTAAGAGAAAAGCGCTATATAACTAACTGTACATTATTATTATTATTATTATTATTATTATTATTAAGGTAGCAATTAATGATTTTTGCCACATTTGTTCGCGTCAACAATTACAATTTGTACGCGCAATAGCAATTGTTATCCCATGTTTCAGTAGCCAATTAGAAAGCGCACACAACGCTATCCACTGTTTTAGTGTATACTAAATTCATATAGGATCACCCCCTGCCATCCTTGGCTGGCCATAACCCTAATCATGTTTTACCAAGCGTTTACATTAAAAAGGCACCTCTTACAATAATAAAAAACCTGTTGAAGGAAGAGAAGCCAAACCGGCAATGATACCCAAAGTAGAGTGATATTGAGCTTCAAATATATACAGAAAAGGTTTACAAATTTGAAAATGGAGGAAAAAATTTCCCTCTTCATCGCTTGGTAAGAATTTCCCTTTTGGATGATGCCTTCTCGAAAATTCTTGAACTGACTGGCAACTGGCAGTTAGCAGTTAGCAACGGCAGCAAAATGACAAAAACAAGAGAAAAAGGAAAAGCGAAAAAAAAAAGCAGAAAAGTCTAAAGAGATTGGGTAAGACTTTTTGGCATGCCCATACCAAAAAATGTCACAAAACGGGATGCTATTGCAAAGAAAGGCATGCTTTCATGTTTAATTTTGAGTAGTTTGGACTCATAACTGACCGAAAAATGTCCAAAAATGCGAGCTTTTCAAGAATCTCCAAGTGTCAATAGGGGCAATCGGTTTATATTTCAGTAATCTTGCTCCAATTTCTTCTCCAGCGCTATTGATAACGGACTAAAAACTATACAGACCGACAAAAATCTCGACCGATATATCGATCGACTATCGGCCGAATCTCGACCGATATATATCGAACGGCTATCTTCTGACTATCGACCAAGTGTGGAACGACCATTGACCGATTGTCCACCAATTACTGACCGATACATCAGTCAAGTATCGACCAACTGTCGGCAAGGTGTCGGCGAAGTGTCGGTGAACGAAAAGCTATATCGGCCGAGACAATCTGGAACGACTATTGACCGTGTCTCGACCGAGTGTCGACCGACTATCGACCGCTATATCGACCGAGTATCAACCGAGTGTCGACCGACTATCGACCGAGTGTCGACCGCTATATCGACTGATATCTCGGTCGAGATTACCCACAGTAAACAAGATCCATTGAGGCTAGGAGTTACAAAAATAAAGATGCACTTTTGAAACATAAGAAAAAATTAGCTGTGTGCCAAACAACGTTAAAAGAAGAATAGTGAGATCTGTGTTGCATAACCTGGCTTTAATAACCCTTGCATGGAAAGAACTTAAAAACAATGCAAGGAATTTCAACAGAATTAAAAGATCTCTTCAATGTAACAGGGACTTATTATTGTTCTTCTGAAAAAAATGGGAAAGATAATGTGATACCCTACAAGCAGAGGCTACATTTTCGAGATGCATATGTTTGCTATGAAAACTTGATCTCAAGCTTTAAGCTTAATACACATTGGCCTTTATAAGCTTAATACATTTGGTGAAATAAATAGCAGTGAGTTACAGTGTCTGTTATGGTTAGCAGCCCTGGAGAAGGCGAGTAACTTAAAGGGCTCATTCATAGCAGCTTTTGGAAGAGGCAGAAATAATCTGTCAAAAAATATTTTTATGTCACTCATTAGCATAAACTTTACCTTCAAGAAAATCCTTCAAGGAGTGTTCTTCGCAGTCCAAAGGTAAACCATGGACGAAAATCTTTAAGTTGTCACCAAGCATTTTTCACAGCAGAGGCCTTAGACTGAAAAAAGAGTAAACAAAGTACAGCAAAACTTTGTTCATTTGAGTTTACCTTAAAATTAAATTTTGAGCTTACATATTGCACCATGGATAATAGATTGCACCACGATTACACGGAAAGAAAACTCGCTTACATACTGACGCGCATACGATTACCTGATTCAAGAAATCTGTCCTTAAGGAAAGGTCAGTTAACAACAGTTCATCAAGAGTAGATGAGATTTTAAAACACCAAGTAGATGAAAGAAAAAGATAAACATCAGGAACACATTTCCAACACGAGGGCAACAGAGACAACGCATCGCAGAACCGTGGAAGTAATCTCCCATGAAACATAGCGTCGCACAAAAAGGGCGCGAGTTTGGGAGACCCATTTATGTATGATGAAATATAAAGTCTACTTGAGCTCAATACACTTCCGGAACGGCGCATAAACTGCCAATGAACTGTACATACACATATGTACTTTTTATACTTTCTTTTATTCAAAAGTAATTAAAAATATGAAATTTTACATCTGATTCGACTGAGTACCCCGCGACTTAGCCTGCGTGGCAGGCGTTTGAAAGGGAAGGGAAAGGGAGTTTTAGGCACGAGAGAAACGCGAGGGGCGCCCTCCTTGCGCGCCCCGGCCTTCGCGTTTCTCTCGCGCCTAAAACTCCCTTTCCCTTCCCCTCCAAACGCCTGCCACGCAGGCTACCCGCGACTACGAACTTGGATTTTTCCAAGTAAGCCCAAACAGGTATTTATAATTGTAGTTAATTATTAACCACTTATGTGAATTTTAAATTCACATTTTTAGGAGCCTTTAAAAGATATTTTCTCACCGTAGTAGCCTGTGCCAGGCTCTCAGATAGTATAGTGCGGACGTATTAATCTCGGAGCCTGGAACAGGCTATCTCCGTAGAGAAGCGACGACCGGAGATACTTCTGCTCTTCGCAGGCTAAGTTCTGGCCTATAATAAATCAGCCCTTTGCCGTAGTGCCAGTACTGCTTTGAGTTTTGTCAAGAAAGAATAAAGCTTTATCCTCTCTTGGTTTTGTTTTATTTCACACTTTAATTAGTGACGTCTTGCTACAGCATCTCTTTGATTAGAGATCCGGCAAAAGCAACCAGTCAGTTATATTTACGCGTTGCGTGGACCTCTACATTCCCAAACAGGTTCACATGTAAATAAGGTGAGGCTATTTAGGGTCTTAAACAGGTTCTTATTTTCTGAAGAAAAAAATACAAAATGTCTCAGAGTATTTAGTGTTTTAGCTGATTCCTCGTATTAATTCTACATACCATTACATTGCAGTTGGAGTGATAAGGCACCTATGCCTCCAAAGAAGATTTTGAATGTTGACTTTTCTTATTTGCCCAAGGCCGGGTTGTTCAAAGCTGGGTTTAGACAACCTAGGGTTAGTGCGAAATTTGAATTGAGAAATGAAAGCTTAAAAAGTAAATTCAGTTTAATTCTTTTAGTCAACAAGTTGATGATTTAATGTTCTTAAAATAACAGAGAAACCTTTCCGAGAAAATGCTTTTGAAAAAAAGAATCAGAAACCCAGGTTACCCTGTTTCAAATTCTAGGCCAAACCAGGAGCCCATATCTAACCTGAGATCAGGCCCAATTTGAGCGGTTCTCCTGCATTCTCTCTAACGGCTACCGCTAAAATTGGGCTCTCTTTTCGTTTCGCCATGCTATTTACAAAGCAAAACGAAAATAGAGCCTGATCTCAGGTTCGCCCATATCTGGCTAAACAGGTTCTTATGTAGAGGAGGCTTGACTGACAAATTTTATAGCCTGTCACGTGAGAGACGTTGTTTTATTTTTCTTTTCGTTCTTTTCAAAAACGTACAACATCGGCAAGAGCGCGAGAACTGGCAGTCAATAAATCTCCCGCGGTTTATAGTCCGTTTGTATTTTGTATCTCTCGCGCTCGCAAAAGAGGGTGTGTGAACAGGCTAATGGTGGTAGCACAGGCAACAACGCCCGAGCCATGCTGTCACCTAGGGGCAGTCTCCATCGAGACACCTACGGCTCGGCTGGAGACTGAGCCTAGCCATCTCCCTAATCTTTATCAGTTTCTCTTGTGGGAAAAGCGTCTGATTACAGGACAATCACTTGGCTATTGATCGCTGCCATTGATAAATGCTTTTGACAGCTCCCTCAATTCTCAGAACAAAATAGGCTGATTTTGCAACAGAGCAGGAGCGTCAGTTGACAAGCGCCCAGAAAGGACTAAAAGCGACTTCCGGTTCCAATTTGCTGCTCCGCTAATGGCATATTATAGAGCCGCTGGTAGAGCCAGTTGTTTGATTTGCGGGCGCCGTAGCCTGTGCCAGGCTCTCAGATAGTATAGTGGGAACGTATTAAAACGAGCAAAGCGAAAATAAGACGCGCGCGAGTTTCACTTTCACCACTATCTCGGAGCCTGGAACAGGCTACGCGCGCCGTGGTCAACTGACGTTCGCATTCTGTTGCTAATCAGCCTAATATCATAACACGACAGTTTTATGTTTGACTTTGCACCTCAAAGTTTTTCGGATTAGTGATGTTTAATTATTGTTCCAGGCCGCATTTGTTGTACTTTACAACCCGGTTAGTGTGAACATCAAGGGAACACGCCACAGTGTCCGTATTAAGCGAGCTCTCAGGGAAAACGTCACAGACACTTTCTTTTTATCGCTATAAACGTACACAGGAGAAATGACTGAAACAAAAAGCCGAGGAAGTGAAACTTATGTAATAGGAAGCGGAAACCTTTATGAGAGGGCCAAAGTACTAGAGTCAAACACCGGACGAAAGGCGGACTGATCAAAATTAAACAAGCCACACGTTATTTTACCACTGTTTCTAGTACAGTCGAACCTCCCAGCCTCCTCCTCAGGCGTTTCGTTTTTCGCATGGCAGAGGCGAGTGCGGAACGAGTGACTGGAGTCGGACCGCAAAAGCGAAATTTTTAATTCAACCTGGAATAAAGTGTTATATTTATTCTATAAAAATAATGATTTCCCCTGCCAATTACTGGTAGTTTTATTGACAAAATCATTAACCATGCATGTTATCTCGTCTGAAACCTTGTCGAAACGTCAAAAATGATTTGTCCGGAACAATTCACTCAGGGGCACCTATCGAGAATATAGTTCAAAACCACTTAAACATAGCATTGTTAAACGTATTTTAGTATTTAAACGGTAGATATAGGCATATTTTTATCCCCTAAAAATTTTTCATCTGTTCGGATTTCCTAGCTGAAAGTCTCGAGATCCGAAAATCATAGGGATCAAAACTTACCTTTTCGAAAATTTCAGCCAGAAAAAAGGCTCCCGAAAATTCTAGGTGAGCTTTTTAGGGTAAAAATCCGTTAAAAATGGGCAATTACACCAATTTTTAGATGTTCGAAAATCCTAGGAGAGGTAGGCAAGCAAGAAATTTTACAAAAAATGCACCGAAAATTCTAGATCTCAAATCGTCTTCCGAACAGATATTGACGTTGGGTGCCCCTGTTCACTCCGCCGGCTATAAGGTTTGCAGAGCGGCTGCTCTTCAGCCTGTGTCGAAACGTTCTCTTCAATACATGCCGCTAAATTTCCAATAAACAAAAATAATCTTTTCATTTCAAAAAGCTGATAAATCGCTTGTTCAAGCAGGAGCACCCAACGGCAATTTTCGGGAAAATATCTGTTCGGAGGACGATTTGAGAACTAGAATTTTCGGAACATTTGTTGTAAAATTTCTTGCTTGCCTGCCTCTCCTAGGATTTTCGAACATCTACAAAATGGTATAATTACCCATTTTAAACGGATATTTACCCTAAAAAGGGCCACCTAGAATTTTCGGAAGCCTTTTCCTGGCTGAAATTTTCGAAAAGGTAAGTTTTGATCCCTATAATTTTCGGATCACTAGACTTTCAGCTAGGAAATCCGAACAGATGAAAAGTTTTTAGGGGATAAAAATATGCCTATATCTACCGTTAAAAAACTAAAATGCGTTCAACAATGCTATGTTAAGTGGTTTGGAACTGTATCCTCGTTGGGTGCCCCTCTCCAAGGCGGCTCTCGCTAGTGTAGAGTACCGATGTTCTGATTTACGTTGATGTTATCTCCAACAAAAAGTCCATTTTTCCAGTTAGATCAGCACGCCGTCATTCCCAATAAATTGGCCTTCCCTAGTCTCCACTGCTCTATAACTCACCTTCGGACAAACACGATTCAAATAAACATCAGTTCAACGCATTTGCAATCTGCGACCACAAATCAGATGAAACCAGATCTGTGACGCTCGTAAACAAAGCATACCTGGTTTGATTGATGTTTCTAGTGCTAAGTAATCAACACTACCAGCACCGCGCCAATCAGAAGCTGCGTTCGTGGGCGAACGCAGTTTTTCAAAATCGTGGGGTTTGCGGGCAAACGTTTCCTTCATTCCCCTCTCCCTCCCCCGTCATTCCTTTTTTTGGCTCTCGTCCCTGCAACTTTCTCGACGAACTCGCGAGGAAACGCTTGCTACGCAGGCTAGAAAAAGAGACTGTCTGCACTATGGTGACTCGCTAACGCCATAGCAATTTTGCACTTGTTTGGTGAAATTTTGACACTTTCCATTCTATTTTCCTTTATTTTTTCTTTTTAATTTGTTTTCTTTTGATTATTTTTATCTTTTTTTTCTTTCCTTTCTTTCAATAATTTTTATTTTTATTAAAAATTTCTTGTCTTTTCATAATTTTTTCTTATTATTTTTTTTTACATTCTCCCTTATTTAACTTAATTGTTTCTTCTTACTTTTTATTTTGATTTATTTTGTAATTTTTATTTTATTTGGTTATGCAATTTTTTGTTTTATGAAAATTTACAAACAGTGATCTAATTTTTTTAAAAAAAAGTCTCTAGCCCAGCAACGCCATAGACCAGAATTCCTCGCGCGTAACGAAGCATTCCTCGTGCACTTTTTCTTACTTCAGTCAATCGCCCGTGCCACATTTCTGCGTGCAACATGTCGAAAAGGAAACAAACGAGGGACAATTACAAGGAGAAGGTAGCCAAAAAAAAGGAAACGACAATGGGGCAGCTGCTGCTGCCGGAGGGAGCCATGGAATTACCGTACAGAGGTTGTCCAGCCAGGTGCAAGGCAAATGCCAGAAGTACTCGAGAATCGAGCCATTGACTCTGGTTCCTCTCGATTAAGAGCCATCACTCGAGAACATTAAAAAAGCATGCCAGTTGCATTTTAACACGGATTTGGTGTACAATGGGGTTGACAGGCCTACACGACTCCCCAGCGCGTGTTTAAAATAGCCTTTTCATAGCCTGCGAGCAAGCTCTCCTACTTGGGCGAACGAAG